GAATTTCTGTGTCGAAACTTTGTCGAGCCAAGCAAAGAGGGTTTTAGGCTACAGTACCCAGGACGAACAAGCACTGCTTGTTTTCGGCGATTCCTCAGGTGATTCTGGAAAGGACAGGTTTAGGCGCGTGACTGGCACCTCAGGTGCGAACTGATTGGGAGAACTGTACCAAACCTGCGGTTAGAGGATGAAACAAGTCTCACATTTTCTAAGGGCGACGTCAGGTTATACATTAATCGCGGGTTTACAGTTCTTGTATCGTGGTTCAGGACGGCCCAACACGGTGAAAAGCGGTTCCCGACATTTACCGCTCTGCACCGTGTAGAAACGAAGTTAAACGCCGTGAGCGTACAAAAAGTTGTACAACCTGACTTCGCCCTAATGCAACAGAGCCCCACAAACCCCGTAATTTCTCTGCAAAGTGAATCTCGTTTGAAGACCAATGGTCGTAAATGAAAGAATTTGACTTATCCTGCATACAGCTCTAAGCAGCATCAATCAATCTCTTGAAACATCAAGAATGTGCATTCACGAAAAGTATATAGACTTCTTTGCAGCAACGTTCAATGACAATGACAAGGCCGCCATGGCTGCCTGACACTTGCCTGACAAGCACATTACGTGAAGTCTGGCCACCTGATGGCTTTAATTTCACCAGCATTGTATCCGTTACATCCTTACGAAGCAGCCTATATACTTTTTATGTTCATTAGGCGAACATTATATCGACTGCTCTAGGGAGTATCTCACTGGTGCAAGCAACTAAGTCCAAGGTCCGCGCGGGCTTCTCAAGGTGCTTTGCTGGCACTCAGGAACAACAACCAAGGACTAACGTCACTGGATGTTTGGATTCAGGGCCCAAAATAGGTTTTAGCTCACTCTTTCAAATCAGGGTGGCAGGCCCTCCGTACCCTGACTGGTAGGGTAATTTTTCTCGTACACTGATTGTAGCAGCCTAAGTTCAGTTACACTGATTTCAGCAGGGTAATATATGTCGTACACTGTTTCATTCCTACGCACGTATTTATACTACACCATCAGTTACTTAACACTAAAGTGTTCTGCACACAACCTGTACTAACAATCTAGTTAACACTGAGGAGTCTGAGAGACCCCTCGGGAATCACAAAGCCCAAGGGGCCTCAGGCAGCACGGTTCCCGCGCTGGTAGGGAACTGCATGGCATAGGCTGCAAGGCCACAATGACTGCCAGGTGGTGGAAACGACAGCACGTACCCCACCTGGCGCGCAATTTGGCTACGTTGGCAGTGAGTGGTGCTTTGGGAACGCACGGAAACCGGGTGCATTGGCTTTGATGTTGCTTAACGGACCGATCGTAGGTGTGCGGGGGCATCCGTGCTGAATGTGCGTTGGCGCGCCAGTGGGTGTATCGAACAAATGGTCCAGTGGGACCGTGGTGCACTTTGTCGTGGCGCGTACTGTGGCGGAATCCGCGGTACAAAAAAGTTCCGGTAAAAGGGTAGTTGAACCCCTACCCTGATACAGTCAGTGTAACTGGGAAAACTACAAGAGTACTTTTTAGCGTATCCTGATTTCACTAGGTTAAAAATCTCCATACCCTATTTTGAAAAGGGTAACTGCCAAAAAGTGGCCTATGAGCAGGGCAAAAAGGGTAAAATACCCTTGAAATTTGGGGGCTGTTTGGATTACGTCCAAGGACGCGATCCTGAAGTTCTATCCTCGTTTTCTCATCACCTGAGTTACGAGCACTGGTCAGCTGTCTACGCTAACGATGACAATGGCAGGCCATATATCAGTACTGTGCTCAGACCATCGGCATATATTCTTCATCAGCTCGTCAGCTCAGAGCTTCTGCCGTTTTTGGTTCATCATTGCACGATGCCGCCGAAAGGGTTACGCGTTAAGCCCACTGTTGATGTGCCGCCACCTGAGATCACAACGGGTGGTCCTGATGCTGCATCCAAGCAGACGGCAACCAGCAAGTCAGACATTGAGAAGAATCTGCCATCTGAGGCTGAAGTTACTTCGGGAAGCTTGAGATTATCTATTGAGGATAAGCTGAAGGCGCTGGCTACGGTCGTACCTGATGACACCTTTATTGAGGACGACTCTGACGAGGAGCTGGAAATTGATAATGAAAAAGGAACGGCGTCGCATCTTCGGTTCACGGCGATACTGCTCTTCCCGGTCATTCCGTCTCATGAGATCGCCTCTGTTATTATTACCGTCAGGATGCTGATGAAGCGTGTTTGGTCGCATATCTTTACTGACGGTGTTCTTACCACAGTGAAGTTTCAGGAGCTGTTACCTGCGTACGTCGCGAAGTCACGTTACAGCAGACTCCAGGTCTCCTTCTTGCAAGAAGCAGACGCGACCAATGTCAAGCAGATGATTGTGGACCATAAGCGACCGAATGGCTTGACTATTCACTGCTTCTGGCTCCACCGGCAAGATCCGGCTTACGTTCGAACAAAGGCGGCCAACCCGCAGATGCTGGAAGTCTATTTTAAGGGTGTACCTGCTAACATTCCGCCGGAACTGGTCAAGGATGTGATGGCTGTCCACCAGCTGAAAGTTCGCAAACCGTCCGCGTTCAGCGAGGGACACTGCTTCCACCGCGTGCTGCATCCGGTCACAGGCGCAGACACTGATAAGATCAAGGGATTGGTGATCCCGCACGCGGGGGACAAGCATCGTTGGCGACACGAGTTTCGCCATCAGCTGCTTGGTGGGACGACGCTGCTGGCCCACTACCCCTTGCTATCTTGCACGCTCTGTGGCGGTCATCACTATGACAAGTTTCATGATGTCTATGTCACGGAGCGTCAGAATAACATAGAGAAGTGGAGTCTCACAGTGGGTCGGGTACACAGGATTAACGGTAACAGCCTCTTACAGTTTTGTTGTCGAGGTTGTTCATGCTGTTTCTTACCTTCATCAGCTTCTGACCTCTCGCTTGCCTCTCGCAGCTGCTTCTCTCCGCACTTCTCCGCTTGTCACCCCTCTCCTCATGGATGCGGCCTTTGTTATGATCTTGACGGGGAGCAACAGGGAGGAGTGGCTCTGAACCCAAGCCAGCTGCGGAAAGGCACACGGCAAATCCTTCATGACTGCTGCAGACCACGTCACCTCTGCAAGCCACCTGCTGGGGTTAGAGAAGCTGGGTGCTGCCACTCGTCTCTCCCTCGAGAAGCTGAACCTGAACACCATCCACAAGGAGTACGGGATCTAAGTGTTGATCAGGATCGGTTGACCAGAATTTCTTCAGCTGTAGCCGTTGTTTGTTCCGTCATAGCCGTTGCATGTTTCACCAGCCCGTGGATGAGGGGAGGCTATCAAGCAGTGATCAAATGAGTACAAAAAATCTTCTCACAGTAGCAGGCCTGAATGTGAACGGCCTGGGAGACGGGAACAAGCAACAGCGTACGAAGAACTGGATCAGACAAGCTGCCGACATCACTAGACTCTCAGACTCTAGACTAGCAGATGACCACCCATACTGGAACTCTCTCAAACAGCCTAGGACCTCAGTTGCCTCACCAACCGCCAAAGCCGGAGGTGTTGCGCTGATCTGTCGCATACAAGGTTTATCACTTCATAACATTCTGATTCACTCGTCAGGCTGACTGATCAAAGCGGACGTGCAACTTGACGCTTTCCACATCACTTTAGTAGCAGTGTTGTGAGAGTACGACGGCTTATGCTTGTTATTCATGCTTGCTTTTATTTCCTTACGCTACTTCTAGCTTAGGATTAATTTCTGCATGCATGAATTGTTTGATTCCTAGGCTAGGTGCTTTCCTATATTTTATTATAGTTATAAGCACCTTGCTAGGTTACACCGAAGCCGGAGCTATTCGGTTGCCACCGAACTGCTTTCTACCGAATTCGGGAAGGGTCTGTTCGGGATGCTTCGCGACCCGCAGAACCTTCGCGTAACACCTGGTTACTGCCCCTTATGTCGAGCCTATATATAGCCTCGTGTTGTACCCAGGTGATCATTCAATTTACATTCTCATTTCTGAACTCGATCCTCGATCCTCACAAGTGTACTTTCCGGCGGACGTGTCGGACAGAAAAACCTTCATCCGTCGGGTCCTGGGCCCAGTGGTTGACGGTGTACCACCTGGCGCTCACCTGCTTGTCCTCGGGGATCTGAATCTGGTGGAGGATCCGCTGCGGGACAGGACCTCAAGGAAAGGGACGACCAAAGAGAATGACGAGTTGTACCAGCGCTGTAATGCTTTCCGTTTATCGGATGCCTTTCGTGTTCTGCATCCCTTCAAACGGGAGATCACCTTCTACTCACATGCCTGCCAGACCAGCTCGCGCATTGATCGCGCACTCATCTCGAAGTCTCTGCTATCGCATGTTGAGTTCGCCTCCCACATCATGCCTGCTGATCCAATCTCGGATCACAGCTTCGCGATTAAAGTGGCCTTCAGGATGAGCACGCAAGTGCAGACGGGACCGGGCCTCTGGAGACTACCTGCATACATGGTGGGGAGACCGGGTGTTAGAAAGGTGATCAAAAGGGTGTCGAACCACATGGAGAAATCAGGTGACAACTACGAGCTGCTAATCGCGAGACTGGACGCGGGGCTCAAGGCTTACGCCAGAGAGGAGAGAAAGAGGGTTCGCGCCACGATGACCTTTCTTCATCAGGCGGTTGCTGATCTGAAACAGGCGTGGCTGGGGGACCCGAGCTGTGTCCGGCTGAAAGACCTTCTGAGCGAAAGGGAGCTCCAACTGAGAAGTTATCAGCAGTCGCGGCAGGAGAGACTGCACGTGATGGCCGGAATGAAGGAGGCGACGTTGGGGGAGATCGCATCACCTTTCCTATCTGCGAAGATTAAGGGCCGGAAGGAACGCACACAAATGACGTAGTTAAACGTGGGAGGCACTATGGTCAGTGACAATAAAAGCATTTTGGGTGCAGCTTCGCAATACTACCGGCAGCTGTTTGGAACAGACAGACAGAAGGTCTTATCTGAGTGGGAACCCTCGGCCGACAGAAGGATGTCGTCAGCAGTGGCGGAGTCGTTGACTGCCGAGTGGTCGGAAGAGGAGGTTAAGAGCGCGTTTCAGTCGATGACGAAAAATAAGGCTCCTGGCCGGGACGGCTTGCCAAAGGAGCTCTTTGAAGCGCATTGGGACATCCTGGGCAAACACTTCATGTCGCTGGTGAAAAGTTTCTCGGACACGGCGTCCCTCCCAGCCTCCACAAAAGACGCAGTAACCATCCTGCTGTACAAGAAATGGGGTAGAGATCAGCTGGAGAACTACCGTCCAATCACATTGCTCAGCTTCACCTACAAAGTGATAGCGCGTGTGGTAGCGGACAGGATGAAAAAATTGCTCTCGGAGGTAGTCTCACCGGAGCAGTTTGGCTTCTTACCCGGGAGGAGGTTGTCGGACGCTGTGGGGCTAGTGGCGGACATTATCGAAGCGGCCAAAAATAAAGATAAAGATTGGTACCTCCTGCTTGTTGACTTCAGGAAGGCCTTCGACTCGGTGTCGCGGAGATTCCTGTTTACGGTGCTGGAGAAGATGAGCTTCCCTCCCCGTTTTGTCGGATGGATTCGGGGCCTGCATGAGAACACACGGACAAGCTTGTCGGTTACCGGTTGGATTGGTGAAGCGGTCGAAGTGGTCTCGAGGGTGCGTCAGGGTTGCCCCCTAGCACCTTACTTGTTTTTGTGCGCGGTGGAACCGCTGGCGCAAGAAGCGGCGAACCGGAGGATAGGCATTTCCGAGGGTGATCAGCGGCTGGCGTACCTTGGTTATGCCGACGATACAACTCTTATCCTGGAGGGGGAGGAGCAGATTGCAGCGGCAGAGAAGCTGTTAGAAGAGTTTGCAGGGGAGTCAGGTCTCGCTACTAACAAGGAGAAGTCAGTTGTCTTACCACTGGGGTCGAATCTGGGCAGGCAGCCCTGGAAGACCGATGGTTTCAAATGGGCGAAGGCTGATGAGGCAGAAAGGTTGCTGGGGGTGTGGGTGACTCCTGCTGGAAGCTGCAATCCTACATGGGAGAAGGCTTTCGCACAGATTAAGCGGAAATTGTCGCAGTGGGAGGCGCAGCACCTCACAACTGGCGCTCGTGCTGCGGTGATAAACTGCTACATCTCACCAATAATCTTCTTTCAGGCTCAGGTGTACCCGCCACCGATGGATATTTGGGGGAGGATACTGAAACTGACGCACAACTTCATGTCGAGAAACCGGGCCTCTACCGACAAGGAATTCATACTGTGGAGCAGAGAGCTGCTGTACATGGCCAGAGAAGAGGGGGGCGTCGGTGTGAAGGACCCCGAAATCGCACTTACCTGCCTAATTGCCAGAAAGATCGAGCTGCTGCTCACCGAGACGAACGCGCTGAAACGCGACATCATGCTCCAGGCTGCGGACTTGCCGCTAGGAACGGACACTTTCGTCGCTCACGTGAAGCTGCTCAAATGCTGGCGCGGGAAAAGCGAGCGGTGGAAGCTTGCGTGCGCTAACTTCATGCAGTCGCCGCTCGCCATCACGCCGCTTGATTTATCACGGGAGGAAGCTGCGAGGGAACGGATCGTTTTCAACCGCCATATCCTGATGAATGGCACGACCCCGGTGGGCAGCCAGAAAGCCGCGGAGAAATTGTGGGAGGTGCGTCTGGGAGACCTGCTGACTGCGGGTGGTGACGGGAGCCGGCGTGTAAAGGATGACAAAACCCTAGCGAGGGAGCTCGGTGGCTCAAAGCAGGCGAAGCTTGCTCTACGGGCGTGGGAAGCAGCACCGCAGAGCTGGAAGCTGCTTCTCCTCTCAGCCGAGCAATCTGGCGCACCCACCACCCAGCTCCGCACTCCGCTCCAGCGCACAGCGGCTTTCAGTGGTGGGGGGGCTACCATCGCTGAAGGATTTGAAGGGAAATTGGCAACAGTCGAAACATCAATCGGCCAAACGGGAGCTCTGGGCGGGCAGATGGGCAGGAGCTATTGACTGGAAAAGGGTTGTGAAAATTCGGGACTCGCTGGTGACACCGAACCGACCGCGTGATGTGCTGCTGAGAATTCACAATCTCAACCTTCAAGTGGGTGAAAGGCTTTCTTTCTTGAGTAGAAAGCCGGTCTGCCCGCATTGCGGGGAGTTTGAAACCCTGGAACACTGCCTCTACACCTGTCCAAGAATCCAGACGGTTGTGGGAGCAGTTCGGAAGGCTCTGCGCATGCTGAATCCGACGAGGCATGTTGACAGCTTGGGTGACATACTGTTTGGCAATACCGCTTCCACCTCAGCTTTTCCGTAAGCATCTCTCTCGGCAATTGCAATACACCAGATTTGGGCAGAGCGGTGTGATTGCGTGTTTCGAGGCAAGAGATTTCGGGCCAGGCGGGTACTGAGGAGGATTGAAGCAGCTTTCAGGCTACATGTGCGGGTGTATACTCGGGCAACAGGGAAAAAGTTGAACATGAAGGGCGATTTGAAGCAGGGCGAGAAGACATACGCGCTGGCAGATCAGGAGTGTCGGCTCCTTGGACGTATCCAGACTCTGGAAGGCAAAGGCTGGAAATGGTCCCGTCACTTTGGCGCGCTATGGAATCTTGCGCGAGGGGCACTGCATCCCCCTTAGAGTCATCCCCTGAGGCTGGCACGCTGCCGGGCCTCTCACGCTAAGTTACGACTGATATATTTTTGTGTGCACTAGATCATCGGTGTATACTTTAACATATTAAAAAATAAAGAAGGTGCATTCACTGTCGTTATACAGTCAATGCTTTTGCATTTATGTGATGTATGAATCTTCTACAAAAATGTCATTCTACAGTCAGATGTCACCTTTGCTCGCGGTATAATCTCCGCAGCTCCTCCCCCTGCATCAGTGTCTTCCGAAAATGCCGGAATTGGGGCGTGTTTCGGGCTCTCACATGAAGTTGTTGTCGCCAGATCCCTGTCGTTCAGGGCACAAGTTTGTTCAGGCCGTTTTCAAGCTACAAGGATCAAGTCGTACTGCGTTTCATCTCGTGACATGTAAGGTTGTGACGAAATGGTATAAATAATAGACTCCCGCTACGCGTCCTATGAAATGATGAATACGTACCAGGAGATTTGGTTCCCGCCCGCCCCCTCCGCGCCTAACCAAGGGGCGATGTCCTTGCACCCCCACCCCGAGATGAACTTGCACCGTTCGATGAAAACACTTTGGACCTGAAGAATTTTCTGACCCTCGATCTGGTCCCAAAACTAGGTAGTTCCAAGGCCGTACAATTGGGTGGTGGACGCTGACTGTTCCCCAGAAGTTTCCTTGGAGTGATATGCCTTAGGGAGTGGAAATAGGTGAATTCCTTACCAAACAGCAGTACCATCAGCTCAGTGTGGTCCTTATTTAGGCTCCACAATGGTCCTGTAACCATGATGCGGGTGTGCTGAGAACGCTCCGTCAGACGAGAAGGATAGGTCGCTTATCCTATCGTTTCATGAGCCGTTTTTACTCGTGTTTTTCGCCACAGCTTCTCTCGGTTCGTCAACGCCCTAGTTGACGTGTCAGAAGACTGAGTTTGCGAAGTCGGCAAACCGATTGTCCGCAGACCGCAAACAAGATTTCGCAGACGTTTCTGAACCCGGAGTCGACTATTAAGAAACTGCTAGTTTAAGACGACGCGCTCAAACTAATCGAGCCCCAATGTGGTTCACGCGTCAAGCAATGTCGCCGGCCTTTCGGCTCGGCTCGCACCTCCCTTTCGCCGTTGCGCTGCTGCTATCGTTGCAGATTCTAGGGTTGTGGACCTCGGCAGCTGTCGCGCAGCATCGAACGGTGCACAAATGGGACGGTGAGTCCCTTTGCTCATTCGTGGTCCACTTTGACTGACATGTCCACTTTAGCGCAGCACGGTAGCGCTTCGACCGTACGACGCCCGTTTGACCTAACGTATTAGATCTTCGTGGCATCGGAAAGGTAACATTGCGATCGTACGCCCCCTTTAGTATGATATATTCGAGGTTTGAGACATGGCGGAGGTTTCAGCAGAACGACGCCGTTTTAGCCTGATATATTCGAGTTTTTGAGGCGTCTCAAAGGTAGCACTTCGACCGTACGACGCCATTAGCCTCGAATACTTGAGTTTCGTCACGTCGCAACGCGGCATCACTGTCGACGCTCATCTGAACATCGCGAAGGTAGTAGTGTTTCAGCCCTCCAGCCCCGTCAGGAATGCAGCCTGCAGTATTATCGTACGGCGCGATGGTCGATCGGTTCAGCGAGGGGGTGTCAATAGGTGCGAGCGACGTAGTCGGGCGTACGCTGCTCAACCATTCGCCTTACTTTCTCGATGACTGGGGTTAGCGTGAACGGCTTAGCGTTTCTGTCCCGATTGAAACTTCACTGGGCAGCTGAATGTCGGCGTTTCGTTCGTGGTCCTAGGCAGTTTTTAGATTCCGCTAAAAGCGCCTACATACCTGGAACTGTGACCTTTCCTTATTCTGGCTCGCGTGTTGAGTCGACTCAAAACACGCCTCATTCTTCGCGGTCCTAGGCGGTTTTCAGAGTCCGCAAAAAACGCTTACGTTACATTGTGCACCTGCAACTGTGACCGATCTTTATTCTGCCTCGCGTTCGACTCAAACGCTGCGTGAACAGTGCTCGGGAACGGGCACATGGTCAAGCAGGCTCATCTCGTGCCAATACTGGCGAGTTTCGAGATGTATCAGAGCCGGTTGGATATATGCTAGGCAACAAATCTTCCCTCGCATCTCATCGACACCCTAGTCCCCACAGTTGATGCGCTGATTGCGATGCGCAAGGGGACTTTCGAGGCGCCTCAAAGGGCGGTTTCCAGCGAAGTGAATGTTGAGTCGACCAAATCTCTTCCCAGGCAACAAATCTTCCCTCTCGTCTCATCGACACCCTCGTCCCCACAGTGGATGCGCTGATTGCGATGCGCAAGGCGTGGGACAGTCCCGCAGCCCTGCATTCCTAACAGAGACCCTCCTCATCAGCACACCATCCCGCCATCCCTCCATTCCACCCTCTTCCCCACAGTCGATGCGCTGATTGCGATGCGCAAGGCGTGGGGCAACCCGGCAGCCCTGCAGACGTGGCAGAAAATCCCACCCTCTTTCCCCCCTTACCCGCTCCTTCATTCCACCCTCTTTTCTGTCCTGCAGTGGATGCGCTGATCGCGATGCGCAAGGCGTGGGGCAACCCGGCAGCCCTGCAGACGTGGCAGGGGGAAGACCCGTGCCTGGGGCAGTGGCGGGGCGTCACGTGCACCGACCGCACTGGGGACAGCTCAGAAAAGCTCTACGTGAAAGCGCTGTGAGTGAGGAGACACTAGGGATGGTGTGAGTGAGTGAAAGCGATCACAGTGGAGGGGCGTCACGTGCACTGACCGCACTGGGGACAGCTCATAGTAGCTCTACGTGAAAGCGCTGTGAGTGAGGGGGGGGACAGTGGACGAGGAGGGTACAGGGACGCGACGGAGAAGAGTGAGGGGGGATGTTGCAGCATCATGTGCACCGATCGCACTGCAGACATCTCTGAGTAGGTCTACGAGAAAGCGCTGTGAGTGAGAAAAATGGGGATGGAGTGAGTGGGAAGAGTGAAAGGAGGTGAGTGGAAAGAACAAGGGGCAGTGAAGGGGCGTCATGTGCACCGATCGCACTGGAGACAGCTCTGATAAGCTCTACGTGAAAGCACTGTGAGTGAGGGGGGGGGGAGGACAGTGAACGAGGAGGGTACAGGGACGCGAAGGTGTTGAGTGAGGGGGGATGTTGCAGCATCATGTGCACCGATCGCACTGGAGACAGCTCTGAGAAGCTCTGCGAGAAAGCACTGTGAGTGAGGGGAGTGAGTAAGAAGATTGAGGGTAGGTACATGACTAGAGTGAAGGGAAATGAGTGAGAAGACTGTGTGGAAGCGGAGGGGCGTGACCTGCTAGGAAACATCCCTTGCTTGCTCCCTTTCTGCCTGTTCCCCCGTTCCTTTCCTCCCCAGAGAGCTATCTGGCATGCACCTGTCAGGGCCACTCTCTCAACGAAGTTGGAGAACAGCACTCCCTTCCCTTGCTCCGTTTCTGCTCCTTCCTCCCCAATCCGCTCCTTTCCAGGGAACTTTCTGGCATGCTCCTGTCAGGGCCACTATCTCAGCGAAGTTGGACAATAGCACTCCCTTGCTCCCTCTCTTCTCCTTCCTCTCCCAATTCTCCCCTCTCCAGTGAACTTTCCGGCATGCGCCTGTCAGGGCCGCTCTCGACCAAGCTGGGAAAGCTCCTGAAGATCGAGAAGATGTGAGTTTGGATAGTGGTAGAATATGTGATTAAAGTGAGTGAGACCAGATGTGAGTACAGTGAGTGAGACCAGATGGGAGTACAGTGAGTGAGACCAGATGGGAGTACAGTGAGTGAGACCAGATGGGAGCCCAGCTTGGGAGTCTAGATGCGCCTGTCAGGGCCACTCTCGACCAAGCTGGGAAATCTCCTGAAGATCGAGAATATGTGAGTTCAGATATTGCTGAATGAGAGAGGGTGATAGTTCACCGAGTGAGAGGGGATGTGAGTTCACCAGAGTGAGAGAGGATGTGAGTTCACCAGAATGAGAGAGGATGTGAGTTCACCAGAGTGAGAGGATGTGAGTTTACCAGAGTGAGAGAGGATGTGAGTTCAGCGAGTGAGAGAATATGTGAGTTTCAGCGGCTCGGAAGCTGCTTCTAAGACTTCTCAGATTGACTAAGAGTGTCCAGTGGAGGATTGCATGCTGTTTCGCTGCGTAATTGAGGAGACACTGCTCGTGTCTGTCTAGTAGCAGAGTTATTTACTCATACACGCCCCATTACATAATCCAGAGTGTTCAACAATCACCTTTTTTTTTTTTTTTTGTGCAATAGAAGAGACAATTCTATTTTGCCGCTCTTGAAAACTCTCAAACTCGAGCTAGAGAGCATGCAGTATTGTTGCGTGATACCGACGACTCTGCTATTGTCTGTCCAGCAGACTGTTCATTTTAGCTTGCGCCTCCATTTGGAATGGCGACAGCTCCACTCCACACCACCGTCGTCGCTCCTTCCCCACCTCCCTCACATCCTATTCCTACAGCTGCACTCACCCCTACCTCACCACCCTTCCTCCCTTCCCTGGTTCCCTCCTTCCCCCTTTCACCTTTTTCCCCCTTCCCACTTTCCCCTTTTCCCCCCTTCCCCCCCCCTCACCCCGTTTTCCCCCCTTTCCCTCTTTTCCCCTTTCCCGTTCCCCTCTTCCCCACTTCCATCCACACGCATTCCCCCCTCCCTATGCTTCATGCTTCCAGCGATTTGTCCAACAACCGCTTTTTTGGTTCCATTCCCCGAGTCATTGAGAACCTGCGAGGCCTGCAGCACCTGTGAGTGGAGTGGAACGAGTGCCCCCTCACCATGCTTCATTTGTCCAGCGACTTGTCAAACAACTGCTTCTTTGGCTCAATTCCCCGGACCATTGAGAACCTGCGAGGCCTGCAGCACCTGTGAGTGCCAGCCAGGAACGGATGGACTCGATTGTATGTCTGCAGGAAATAGCATGCCAGAGTGAAAGTAGCATTCCTGAACGAAAGTAGCATGCCCTTACTTGAAACGCCTCAAAGCCGGACCATTGAGAACCTGCGTTGCCTGCAGCTCCTGTGAGTGGAACAAATAGGTAAATCCAATGTCCGCACGACATTCCCCACCCTGTTGACTTTTGAGTCGACTCAAAAGCCAACTCGCCTGTGAGTGGAGCGAATAGATGAATCCAATGTCCGCACGACATTCCCCAGCCTCACTTGTTGTTCCTCGCTCTCCGTGTGCGTGCTTGCAGGGACCTCTCGTTCAACTTGATAACCAGCAACATTCCTTCAAGACTCAAGTTCTGCCAGAAGCTCACATACCTGTAAGCCTCAGCTCCTCTCACTCACTGCCTTCCTGCCTTGTACCTTGCCTCTTCCACATTGTTACCTAATTCTAAACCTTTTCTATGCACACCACTCCCTTTCCCCCTCTCCGTCACTTCCCCTTCCATTTTTTGCCTGTCCTTTCAGCTTTGCACTCCTGTCTGTAGTATCCGTGGCTTTCCCCCTCTTCCCTCCCTTGACCCCTCCTCTCCTTCCCCCATTCCTCTCTCCCTTCCTTCCACTCTCCCTTCACTCCTCCCTTTCTTGCTTCCGCTCTTCCTCAACCCCTCCTTTCCTCCAATTTCTCTTCCTCCCTCCCTCCCTCCCTCCCTCCCTCCCTCCCTCCCTCCCTCCCTCCCTCCCTCCCTCCCTCCCTCCCTCCCTCCCTCCCTCCCTCCCTCCCTCCCTCCCTCCCTCCCTCCCTCCCTCCCTCCCTCCCTCCCTCCCTCCCTCCCTCCCTCCCTCCCTCCCTCTCTCCCTCCGTCCCTCGCTTTAACCCTTTTTCTCTCCATCCTTCTCTCCAGTCACCCCCTCCTCCTCCCCCCCCATCCCTGCCCCCCCCCGCACCCCCCTCCCCTGCCCCGTTCTTCCCCCAGCGACCTGTCAGCAAACGATCTAAACGGCACCATCCCTGCCACCCTCGCACACCTGACCAACCTGCAAACGCTCGACCTGGGCACCACTCTTGCAACGTTGGTAGTTCAACCTGGGGCACCAACGAGACCCACTCTTCAGTCAACTCAAAGCTTTTGTTTCATCTTCCCCCACCATCCCTGCCCCCCCCCCCCCCCCCCCCCCCCCCCCCCCCCCCCCCCCCCCCCCCCCGCAACCCCCTCATCTTCCCCCTTCTTCCCCCAGCGACCTATCAGCCAACGATCTAAACGGCACCATCCCTGCCACCCTCGCACACCTGACCAACCTGCAAACACTCGACCTGGGCACCAACGAAAACCTCAACAGCACCATTCCACCGGCCCTCACCGCTCTCAGCTCCCTGCAAGACCTGTGAGTGGCAGTCTTCGCGTCTTTGGTTTGCACGCTGCATAAACCTGCAGTCACTCAACCTGGGCACCAATGGGAACCTCAACAGCACCTTTCCACCGGTCCTCACCGCTCTCAGCTCCCTGCAAGACCTGTTTGTCTTAAGTTTTGCGCTTCCCCTCCTGCCCTCCCTTGCCCTTCCCTTCCCACCACTCCTTCGTCCCTGTCGCTGCATCTCCCCTCCCAGTATCCCCCATCATCCCTCTTCCCTTGCATGCGCTGAGCATTTTTTTTTTAGGCTCTATATGTTAAAGGCACTGTCCGTCCCTCCCTCTCCCCTGTCACCACAGCACGATTAGCGAGTGCAATCTGAACGGGCAAATTCCAGAAGACATTGGGAACCTTGCGGGACTAACTAAGCTGTAAGAGGGGGTGACTACGGAGGGGATGTTGCTGGGATGGGCCGGGAAAAGGGCATGGTATGTTCAACGTCTTGAGAGCTCCGGACGGCTCCCTTTCCATGCTGCCCCTTGCATGTCGTCCCTTCCATGTCACCCCTTCCATGTTGCCCCTTCCATGTCACCCCTTGCATGTTGCCCCTTCCATGTCACCCCTTCCATGTTGCCCCTTGCATGTCGCCCCTTGCATGTCGCCCCTTATCCCCTTGCAAGACTTTCCGCAGCCCTTTACACGTCTCCCCTTGGCTTGGCACATCTCCCCTCTTACCCCACACCCCCTCTTACCCCTCACCCCCTCTTACCTCTTTACACACGCCCCCTTCTCCCTTTGCATATCTCCTCGCCTCGTTTTCCCTAATCCTACGCCCATGTAATGCCAGAGCTTTGGAGGAGAACAGCTTGGAGGGGTCGATTCCAGACTCCATTACTCAACTCACCAACCTGCAGCACCTGTGAGTGCGCTCACTCACATTCAGCACACCACGTGTTACTGCCACAGGCTAAGCTACCTACACCTACACGTGAGTACCAGAGAACAGCTTGGAGGGGTCGATTCCAGACTCCGTTACTCAACTCACCAACCTGCAGCACCTGTGAGTGTCGAGTCGAAGGCTAAGCTGCTTCTGAGTGTCAGGATTTACCTTGTTCATTCCCAGGCCCCATCCCCCGGCCGGCAATGCTGCCGTACTTGTGTGTGTGTGTGTGTGTGCGCGCACGCGCATGCGTGCGTGTGCGTGCGTGCGTGCGTGCGTGCGTGCGTGCGTGCGTGCGTGCGTGCGTGCGTGCGTGCGTGCGTCTATGTGTGCTCCTTCGTCCCTCACCTTTCTCCGTTCTCTGCCTATCCCTTTCCACCACTGATCTCAGGTTGCAAAGTTTCAACCATCTCAACGACACGGTGCCAGAAGGAATCGGAGCATGCACCACCCTGATCATCCCTTCTTCCCTCACGGCACCCCTCCTACACTTCCCACCCCACCCCTCTCCTCCCTCTCCCTCTCAGGTCGCTAAGTTTCAACCATCTCAACGACACGGTGCCAGAAGGGATCGGAGCATGCACCGCCCTCACCATCCCTTCTTCCCTCACGGCACCCCTCCTACACTTCCCATCCCACCCCTCTCCTCCCTCTGCCCATCTCAGGTCGCTGAGTTTCAACCATCTCAACGACACGGTGCCAGAAGGGATCGGAGCATGCACCGCCCTCACCACTCTGTAAGTTCTCGGATTCTATGTTCTGAGGCGCTTCAAAAGGGTTGGCTTGTCTCCTGTCTCATGCCTTTGAATTACTGCATAAATTCTGAAATCTTGAGTCGAGACAAAGGGTTTTCTTGTTTTTGAGAATTCCCAACAAACAAACTCAGATGTTCCAAAAATTCTGAGATTTTGAGTCTAGAGTAAGGGTTGGTTGGAGCACAAGCACCAACCAACTGCTTTAGAGGCGCCTAATTTGTTTTGAGTCGAGACGAAGGGTTGGTTGGGGCACCAACCAACTGCTTTCGAGGCGCCTAATTTGTTTTGAGTCGAGACAAAGGGTTGGTTGGGGCACCAACCAACTGCTTTCGAGGCGCCTAATTTGTTTTGAGTCGAGACAAAGGGTTGGTTGGGGCACCAACCAACTGCTTTCGAGGCGCCTTATTTGTTTTGATTCGAGACAAAGGGTTGGTTGGGGCACCAACCAACTGCTTTTGAGGCACCTGATTTGTTTTTATTCGAGACTACGGGTTGGAGCATATACTGTCCTGACCACTCCGTGAGTTTTAGAACACAGCAAGCAACCACCCTGGTAAGCATCTAACCCTCACTCACCCCAACACACTCCCACCCACTTGCCCTTATTCTTCCCCACAATCACCTCTCCTTTTTACCTCCCTGCATTCCCGTTTCTTTTCCCGTTTCTTCCCGTTTCTTTCCTCCATTCTCCATCCCATTCCTCTTTCCCACCCCCCTTCTTCCCCTCTCCCTCCCCCCCCCCCAGCATGTTGGATCAAAAAAACCTCACGGGCGAGGTGCCATCTGCGAGCCTCTCTCAGGAGTGCCTCTCCCGTCCCCTCTCCTCTCCCTTTATACCCCCCCTTCCTCCCCGCACTACCCTTCCTTTCCCCCCAGCATGTTGGATCACAACAACCTCACAGGCAAGGTGCCTTCTGCGATAGTCTCTCTCAGGAGTGCCACTCCCCTCCCCTATCCTCTCCCTTTATACCCCCGCTTCCACCCCGCTATACCCTTCCTTTCCCCCCCAGCATGTTGGATCACAACAACCTCACGGGCAAGGTGTCATCTGCCATAACCTCTCTTACTGAGTGCCTCTACCCTCCCCTCTCGCCCTCCTCCTTCCATCGTCCCGCCATCATCCCCCACCTCTCCCCCTCCTCTCCAGCATGTTGGATCACAACAACCTCACTGGCAAGGTGCCCTTTGCAATCGCCTCTCTTGAAAAGTGTCTCACTCACCCTCTCTCCGCTCCCTCCCCTCCTCTTCTCCAGCATGTTGGATCACAACAACCTCACGGGCAAGGTGCCCTCTGCCATAGCCTCGCTGCCAAAGCTCACGTACTTGCGCATGCAGTACAACTAGTTTTACGGTGCTGGCAGGCTAATTTTCACGGAAAGCCTCTTCTTCTCACCCCGTCCCATCATCTCCCTCCTCCCTTTCCCCCCTTCCTTACCCCCCCTTCTCCCTCCCCCCCTCCCCCCAACCCTCTCCCCCCCCCAGCATGTTGGATCACAACAATCTCACGGGCAAGGTGCCCTCTGCCATAGCCTCGCTGCCCAAGCTCACCTACCTGCGCATGCAGTACAATCAGTTCTACGGCGCCCTCGGGCTTGAGTTCAAGGAGCACCTGAACGCGTGAGTGTTGCTTACTTCCAGTGCGTTTGAATGTTGATGAGTCGACTCAGAGATTAGCTCACCTACCTGCGCATGCAGTACAACCAGTTCTACGGAGCTCTCGGGCTTGAGTTCAAGGAGCACGTCAATGCGTAACGGCGGCTTTTAGTGCCTTTGAATCTTGAGTCCACTCTACATCAGCTCACCCACCTGCGCATGCAGTACAACCAGTTCTACGGAGCTCTCGGGCTTGAGTTCAAGGAGCACGTCAATGCGTAAGGGCGGCTTTTAGTGCCTTTGAATCTTGAGTCCACTCTACATCAGCTCACCTACCTGCGCATGCAGTACAACCAGTTCTACGGAGCTCTCGGACTTGAGTTCAAGGAGCTCCTCAACGCGTGAGCTGGGTCTGCCTAGTCGAAACCTTGCGTCAACTTTGGAAACAAGCTCAGCTCAGTGTGTGTGTGGCACCGTGCCTTAGAATCTCGAGTCAAAATGAATGATCAGCTCACCTACCTGCCTGCGCATGCAGTACAATACAAACTTACAAACTTCTCTATGTGGTGTGGTGCCTTCGGACTCACCAACGTTTCCCCATCCCTTTTCACCCACCCACGCCTCCCTTGCCCCCATCCTACCCATGCCCAGCTTCAAGAACAATCCGCAGCTCTGCGTCATGTTCACAAATGACGGCCGGTGCCGGCCAGTGCCAGTGGACCCGCCGCCCCTGCCGCCCGTGAACAGTATCGTGCGCAAGCCGTGCGCAGTGGGGCAGGTGCAGCTGTGTCACTGCGACAACGGATGGCCTGGGGAGAGCGTGTGCCTGCCTGGAGAGGGATACGCTCCATGCCAGTGCCGCGAACGTGAGTGCCTACGGGTACAGATTGGTCATTGGTGCAAGGCGGGATGGATAGATGGATGGATGGATGGATGTGTGTATGGGTCAAGTGCAGCTATGCCACTGTGACAATGGATGGGAGGGGAGGGATACGCTCCGTGCCAATGCCGCGAGCGTAAGCGTCTCGCTTGAGGTAATGCTTGATGGCGCAAGGCAGGAATGGATGGGTCTGTGCATGGGAGAAGTGACTTTTGAGTCGACTCAAAAGTCACGTAAGTGTGTCGCTTGAGGCATTGCTTGATGGCGCAAGGCAGGAATGGATGGGCCTGTGCATGGGAGAGGTTCATCTGGGGCAGGTGCAGCTGTGTCACTGCGACAATGGATGGCCGGGGGAGAGCATGTGCATGCCTGGAGACGGATTCGCTCCGTGCCAATGCCGCAAACTTGATGTCTCAGCTCGGGGTATAGCTTGGAGCAAGGCAGGATGGATGGATGGATGTGTGCAGCTGGGGCAGGTGCAGCTGGGGCAGGTGCAGCTGGGGCAGGTGCAGCTGTGCCACTGTGAGAACGGATGGGTGGGGGAGAGCATGTGTTTTACATGGGAGGGATATGCCCTGTGCCAGTGCCTCTTCCCTACTTGGCCTCTTAACCCCAACTCCCCCCCCACCCCCTCTCTCCCCCGTTTTTCTTCGGATGGGATGGCCGAGGGAGAGCATGTGTTTACCAGGGAGGGAATGGAGACGCCCTGTGCCAGTGCCTCTTCCCTACTTGGTCTCTTCACCCCAACTCCAACCCACCCTCCCCCCCTTCTTCTTCAGATGGAATGGGTGAGGGAGAGCATGTGTTTACCATGGGAGGGACACGCCCTGTGCCAGTGCCTCCTCCCTGCTTGGCCTCTTCACCCTAACTCCCCATCCACCCCCACCATTCGCCCTCCCTCCTCCCCCCCACTTTTCCGTTTGTTCCCGCAGAGCACTTTGATGCGCAGGGAGATGACGACCTGTCGCCTGCGTGGATCTTGGCTTTCTTGCTTATCACTACTTGGCCTCTCACCTCATCTTCCCTTCTCCTCACCTCACCCCACTCCCTCCCCCCTCCAGAGCACTTTGACGCGCAGGGAGATGACGACCTGTCACCTGCATGGATCGTGGCGCTCTCGCTTCTCGCAGCCACCATGCTCACAACGCTCCTCCTCTCCTGCATCTACTGCATCCGCAACCGCGCCCACAACAAGCGCACCGGACAGACGGGCTGGGGCTGGAGTGCTTCCAGCAAGTCCAGGTGGGTGGAGTGGGGTGGAGTGGGGTTGAGTGGGTTGGGAGAGTGGTATAAGGGTTCCTAGGTGAATCCAGAGGCAGCATCTGTGCTCTCCTGCATCTGGTGCATCCGCATCTGTGCCCACAAGAAACTTGATTGATAAATGTTTCAAGTCGACTCAGCATTATGCCTATAATGTTGAACGCAGGCATTATGGCTCATCTCTTTTCTCTCCACCTCATCCCACCCCAACCCACCCCATCCCACCGCACAGAGCCTACCAGCATCTCTCAGTCCCTCCAACCACGGCCACCTTCTCCCAGGCGCTGTACCCCAATGATGCTCATGAGCCACAGTGCTCCTCTTTTTCTCACTCACCCCACCCAGCCCCACCCCACTCCACCGCACAGGGCCTACCAGTACCTGTCTGTACCGCCAACCTCTGCCACCACCTTCTCTCAGGCGCTGGACCCCGACGATGCCTACAACGTCACAGCAGGCATTATGACTCATCCCTTTTCTCTCCACCCCATCCCACCCCACCCCACCCCAACCCACCGCACCCCACCGCACAGGGCCTACCAGCATCTCTCTGTCCCTCCAACCACGGCCACCTTCTCCCAGGCGCTCGACCCTGACGATGCCTACAACGTCGCAGCAGGGGTTATGACTCATCTCTTTTCTCTCCACCCATCCCACCGCACCCCACCGCACTCCACTGCACAGGGCCTACCAGCACCTATCCGTACCGCCAACATCTGCCACCACATTCTCCCAGGCGCTGGACCCTGACGATGCCTACAACGTGGCAGCAGGGGTGCACCCCGCGTCCTCTGCTTCTGCTGCTGCGGCCTCCTCTGGCCGTACTGGCGCCACCTCCCCCTCGCCCTCTGCTGCCATGGCCTTCGCAATGAAGTTCGGCCGCTCTATGAGTGAGTGTCATCATTCTCCCCCTGCACTAGCTCTCTTCCTTCAGCTTCCTCTTCTTCCGCTGCTACTGCCTCCTCTGGCCGTACTGGCGCCACCTCCCCTTCGCCCTCTGCTGCCATGGCCTTCGCTATGAAGTTTGGTCGCTCCATGAGTGAGTGTGCCTATCTTCTCCTCTCTCAGTTGCTTCCCTCCCCACGTTTCCTTCCTTTTTGTTCCTCTCTCTCTGCTCTGCTACCTCTACTGGCCTCGTTGCCGCCACCTCCCCCTCGTTCTCTGCTGCCATGGTCTTTGCCATGAAGTTCGGCCGCTCTATGAGTGAGTTCCATCCTCTCCTCCCTCCACTAGCTCTCTTCCTTCAGCTTCCTCTGCTTCTGCCTCCTCTGGCCGTGCTAGCGCCACCTCCCCTTCCCCCTCTGCTTCTTTGGCCTTTGCTATGAAGTTTGGTCGCTCTATGAGTGAGTGCCTTCACTCCTTTCCTCCATTCGCCCTGTCGCCTCCTCCCTCTTCCCACCGCCACCTCCCCTTCGCCCTCTGCTGATATGGCCTTTGCCATGGAGTTCGGCCGCTCTATGAGTGAGTTCCATCCGCTCCTCCCTCCACTAGTTCTCTCTCTTCAGTTTCCTCTCTCTCCCTGCTACCTCTACTGGCCTTGCTGCCGCCACCTCCCCATCGCTCTCCGCTGCCATGGCCTTTGCCATGAAGTTTGGTCGCTCCATGAGTGAGTGTCCTTCCGACTTTCCTCCATTCTCCCTGCCGCCTCCTCCCTCTTCCCACCGCCACCTCCCCTACGCCCTCTGCTGCCATTGCCTTCACCATGAAATTCGGTCGCTCCATGAGTGAGTGTGCCCTTCCTCTCGTCTTCCTCTCTCGCTTCCTTTCCCTCCCCACGTTCCCTTCCTTTTCCTCTCTCTCCCTGCGGCCTCCGCTGGTCTTGCTGCTGCCTCCTCCCGCTCGCCCTCTGCTGTCGCTTCTCCCCCAACCATGGGCCCATTGCTCTCTCTCAGGCCCTTCTCTCAGGAGGAGCTTCAGCTCGCCAAAGGCAACTCATCACAGCTGCTTTTTAATCTACACACACGCACACGCCCTGCTTCTGTCCCTTGTCTACCCTCTTGCCTCTCTCCCTCTCTCTGTCCCTTCTCTCCCAGCTGTGGGCGCCTCGCAGTCGCTCAAGCCCTTCTCACTGGAGGAGCTGCAGCCGCCACGGGCAACTCGTCTCCACTCTCCCTCACCTCACCTTATGACTCCCCCACTATCTCTTCCCATCTTTTCCCCTCTCGCTCCCCCCCACCACAGCTGTGGGCGCCTCGCAGTCTCTCAGGCCATTCTCACTGGAGGAGCTGCAGCTCGCAACGGGCAACTTTTCTCCGGATCACCTCTTTGCCCAGCGGGAGCACAGCCTGCTCACTTACAGGCACGTTCTTCATAGTCACATCCTATAGCCACAGCTGCTTACCTACGCGCACATTAGCCACAGGCAACTTCTCTCCGGATCACCTCTTCGCTCAGCGGGAGCACAGCCTCCTCACCTACAGGCACGTTACGTTCGTTATAGTCACATCCTGCTCACCTCTAGCCACAGCCTGTTCACCTACAGTCGTGTTCACGATAGCCACGGGCAACTTCTCTCCAGATCACCTCTTTGCTCAGCGGGAGCACAGCCTCCTCACTTACAGGCACGTTCGTTTGAGACATAGCCTACTCACCTCGAAGCACATTCGTTATAATCACAACGTGCTCAACCACATCCGGGTATGTGATCGCCCAATCCCCCACCCCCTACAGTTCCTCACCTCACCTCACCTCCTTATTACTATTTACCCATTCCTGCTACTGCACCCCCTGTCCCACCAACCCCCAGGGGCATGCTCCCAGACCGCAGCTTCATTGCTGTGGCTCAAGTGGACGTGCTCAACTCAGAGCCCCGAGAGACCTTTAGTGCTCCCGTGTTGCCTGTCTCACCCCCTCTTCCCGCTCTTCCTTCTCTTCCCCCTCTTCCCCCTTGTCTCACTATCACCCCCAGGGGCATGCTCCCGGACCGCAGCTTCATAGCTGTGGCTCGAGTGGATGTTCTGAACTCTGAGCCCCAGGAGACCTTTGCCACCGCCCCCCCCTCTTTCCTCCTGTCCCACCCACTATCCGCAGGGGCATGCTGCCAGACCGCAGCTTCATAGCCATGGCTCAAGTGGACGTGCTCAACTCAGAGCCCCAGGAGACCTTTGCTGCCCCCTTGTCCCCTGTCTCACCACCCCCTCTTCCCTCTCTTCTCCCTCTTCCCCCCTTGTCCCACTACTCGCAGGGGCACGCTGCCAGACCGCAGCTTCATAGCGGTGGCTCAGGTGGACGTGCTCAACTCTGAGCCCCGAGAGACCTTTGCGGCCCCCTTGTCCCCTGTCCCACTACTACCCACATGTCCCATCCCATGTGTCATTCCCACAGGGGCATGCTGCCAGACCGCAGCTTCATAGCGGTGGCTCAGGTGGACGTGCTCAACTCTGAGCCCCGAGAGACCTTTGCGGCCCCCTTGTCCCCTGTCCCACTACTACCCACATGTCCCATCCCATGTGTCATTCCCACAGGGGCATGCTGCCAGACCGCAGCTTCATAGCGGTGGCTCAGGTGGACGTGCTCAACTCTGAGCCCCGAGAGACCTTTGCGGCCCCCTTGTCCCCTGTCCCACTACTACCCACATGTCCCATCCCATGTGTCATTCCCACAGGGGCATGCTGCCAGACCGCAGCTTCATAGCGGTGGCTCAGGTGGACGTGCTCAACTCTGAGCCCCGAGAGACCTTTGCGGCCCCCTTGTCCCCTGTCCCACTACTACCCACATGTCCCATCCCATGTGTCATTCCCACAGGGGCATGCTGCCAGACCGCAGCTTCATAGCGGTGGCTCAGGTGGACGTGCTCAACTCTGAGCCCCGAGAGACCTTTGCGGCCCCCTTGTCCCCTGTCCCACTACTACCCACATGTCCCATCCCATGTGTCATTCCCACAGGGGCATGCTGCCAGACCGCAGCTTCATAGCGGTGGCTCAGGTGGACGTGCTCAACTCTGAGCCCCGAGAGACCTTTGCGGCCCCCTTGTCCCCTGTCCCACTACTACCCACATGTCCCATCCCATGTGTCATTCCCACAGGGGCATGCTGCCAGACCGCAGCTTCATAGCGGTGGCTCAGGTGGACGTGCTCAACTCTGAGCCCCGAGAGACCTTTGCGGCTGCACTCGATGTCTTCGCGCGCATGCAGGCCGGAGGGGCTGCAGGGGGAGAGGGGGGAGGGGGAAATGGGGATGGGAGCATGCTGCTCAAGGTGTTGGGGTTCTGTGCGGATTACCTGAGAGGCAGCCGCATGATTGTGTACTCTCTCCCTCCTGGTGCTGCCACGCTCGAGACGTACCTGCACGGTGAGAAGTGGTGACAAGCGGTGCGGAGGTGTGTGGGAGCGTGCTTGCGCGGTGAGAGGTGGTTGTGCCCTCTCCCATCTCCAATCTCTTTCCTCATCACTTTGCTTCCCCCACAATCGCAATAGACTAGTTGGACCGAGGGCTGCCATGGAAAGTGCGTGTTTTGAGTCGGCTCAAAACTCACAAGGCCTGCCATGGAAAGTGTGCATTGGCCACCATGCGCTCTACCTCCATTGCCTGACCCCTCATCGACATGAGACGTCTCAAAACTAGAGGGCTGCCATGGAAAGTGCGTGTTGGGTTGGACAGGCCACCATGCGCTCTACCTCCATCAATTGCTCGACCCCCATCGGCATGCCGTCTCTCCTTCGATCTCCGTTTTCAATCCACTGCCCCACCAGACTCGCTGGACCGGGTGCTGCCATGGAACGTGCGTGTGTCCATCGCCACGCTCTCTCCCCCCATATCCATTTTTCTTTCCCCATTATTAACCCCCATATCCCCTCTCCCACCAGACTCATTGGACCGGGTGCTGCCATGGAACGTGCGGGTGTCCATCGCCATGCACATACCCTCTCTCACTATCCATTCTCCCCATGCATATACCCTTTCCCCTCCCTCGCCCACCAGACTCGTTGGACCGGGTGCTGCCGTGGAACGTGCGAGTGTCCATCGCAAGGGACGTGGCGGAGGGTTTGCGCTTCCTGCACTCCCTCAACCCGCAGGTCAGCCCTTAAAGCCTCAGAATTTCTCGAGCCTGCAGTTGATTATATGTGTGATGGTAGCACGTGAAGGGCATGCAAGGGGCATGCAAGCGGCTATGCTTTGGGGACTCCCTCTCAACCTGTATGCGAGCCCTTAAAGCCCAGCTCACTTCAGTGCCCTTAGGTGCAACCGTAAGACCTCTGTGCTCTCGAGCCCCTTAAGGTTCCTCAACCTTCTTCATCTCGTTGCAACGTGTCTCCTCCTTTCTCCTTCTCCCTTCCCCTTGTTGCCCATCGTGCAGTGCCCCGCCACGAGATGCCTTTTAATCACACAAGACTCAACCGTCTGCCCCTGTCCTTCCTCCCTTGCTCACACAGATGACCCACCAGGACCTCACATCCACATCAGTGGTGGTGGCGCAGGACTCAACAGCCTATCTCTGTGTCCCTCTGCTTGTCACTGTGCCTCCTGTTCACCAGATGACCCACCAGGACCTCACATCCACATCAGTGGTGGTGGCGCAGGACTCAACAGCCTATCTCTCCGACTACTGCCTTCACATCACTCCCTTGTCCTGCCCATTCTCTTCATCATCTCCACCAGATGACCCACCAGGACCTCACATCCACATCAGTGGTGGTGGCACAGGACTCAACAGCATATCTCTCCGACTACTGCCTTCAATCCCTCGAGCTCCTCGCTTCCAAGCCCTCTGCCATGCCCGCTTCCTCCGTGGTAAGCATGCTCACTAATGCCTGGCTGGCCTAGACCTTATTCACTACTGCCTTCAACCCTCCACCTCCTCGCTCCCAAGCCCTCTGCCATGCCCGCTTCCTCTGTGGTAAGCCTAACCTTCCTCGACAGTGAGCTTCCTACCTCGTGAGCCTCCTCTGTGGTATGACCTCCCTTGTAGATAAACGTGTACACACGCACACACACTTGCGTTCCTGCACACTCACGCACCCACACAACCCCCCTGTCCCTCTTTCCCCCCTCCCTCTCAGGCACTGGCAGCAGGAGCAGTGGCACCAGAGCTGGCATGGGTGCATGAGAGCACAGCTGTCCCCTGCCTCACGCACACGTGTGCAAATCACCCACACAACCCCTCTGCCTAACTTCCTCCCAACCCTTTCAGGCACTGGCAGCAGGAGCAGTTGCCTCCGAGTTGGCATGGGTGCATGAGAGCACAGCTGTCCCCTTCCATACATACACCATGTTTGCACCTCACCGCTCTGCCTCTCTTTACCCACAAACCCCTTTCAGTCACTGGCAGCAGGAGCAGTCGCCCCCAAGCTGGCATGGGTGCATGACAGCACGGCGCGCACTGACATGGCCAACATCTATATGGGCACATGTACGCCATGGGCCTGCTGCTGCTGGAGCTCGTCACTGGGGGAAGGCTGCTTGATCGCTCCCTGCCTACTCCCCTCTCCCCTCCTCCCCACCTCCCTGCCTCCCCTCATCCATCTCCCTGCCTTCTCCCACCCCCTTGCCTGTCTCTGCCTCTCGTCCGCCCTTCCCATCCTTCTCAGGCACTGGCAGCAGGGGCAGTGGCCCCCGAGCTGGCATGTGTGCATGAGAGCACAGCTGTCCCCTTCCACACATCATGTGTTTACCCCTTCCACAACCACCCCCTACCTCTCTTCCCCCATCCCTCTCAGGCACTGGCAGCAGGAGCAGTGGCCCCCGAGCTGGCATGGGTGCATGAGAGCACGGCGCGCACTGACATGTACGCCATGGGCGTGCTGCTGCTGGAACTCATCACCGGCAGGAGGCCGCTTGACCCCTCCCTTCCTCCCAACGAGCAGTCTCTCGTGCGCTGGGTGAGTCTCTAGCTCCTGGGTACAGGCCATGGGGTAAACATCCATCACATGTACGCCATGGCCGTGCTGCTGCTCAAGTTCCTTGTGAGGATTCTCAAAAGTGACTCCCAAATAGCAGGCAAGGAGGTCGCACTGACATGTACGCCATGGGCGTGCTGCTGCTGGAACTCGTCACCGGCAGGAGGCCGCTCGACCCCTCCCTGCCGCCCAACGAGCAGTCCCTCGTGCGCTGGGTGAGTGAATTGAAGCACCACTAGTTAGCGGTTCATGAGAAATGAAAACAAGTATCGCTCTCGAGCTCATCACTGGGAGAAGGCCGCTCGACCCCTCCCTGTTTCCCACCGAACAGTCTCTCGTGCGCTGAGTCAGTGAGTTAGAAAGAATTCTCCTGTGGTGCGCTGTGTGTGAGTGAATTCAAGCGCCACATGTGGGCGACCTGAGAAACTCTCAAGCATCGCTCTCAAGCTCATTGCCAGAAGGAAGCTGCTCGACCCCTCCTTACTACCACCCAGCAAGAAGTCCCTCCTGCGCTGGGTGAAGGATATGAAGCACCACGTGTCGGCCTCTCTGGCAAGCCCCTTGAGCTGTGCACTTGTGCATCGGATGAGCGGGTTTGACTCCCTGCACATACTCTCACTCACTCACTCCTGCTGCCAATCCCTTTCCTCCTCCTCTCCTCTTCCCCAGGCGAAGCCGAAGCTGTTGGACCGGGCTAAGGTGGAGAACATGGTGGATCCGAAGCTGCAGGGGAGCTTCGCTTCGCCCTGCCGGCCCTGGTGGAGATGGTCAAGCTCGCTGCACGCTGCCTGCTTCCGGACCCTGAGGGGAGGGCCTTCCATGGCTCATGCCTCCCACCACAATGGACGCGGAGCAGCCTCATGCCTCCCTCCTCCCTCCTCCCTCCTCCCTCCTCCCTCCTCCCTCTTCCCTCTTCCCTCCTCCCTCTCCCCGCCTCCAGGCGAAGCCGAAGCTGTTGGACCGGGCTAAGGTGGAGAACATGGTGGATCCGAAGCTGCAGGGGAGCTTCGCCCTGCCGGCCCTGGTGGAGATGGTCAAGCTCGCCGCGCGCTGCCTGCTGCCGGACCCCGAGGTTCGGCCCACTGCAGCGGCGGTGGTGGAGGTGCTCGATGCACTCGTGGTGCCGGGCGCTGGGGAGGAGTTTGGCAGCGGAGGGGTGAGTGGGAGCATCGTACGGTTGAAAAGGGTAAAAATTGAGCAAAATCTGGGTAGGATTGGAGTAAGGAATGAGTGAAAATGGGATGTTTCCGGGTTTGTGCCTCGCGCTGCCTGCTGCCGTACCTGGAGGTTCGGCCGACTGCGGCTGCGGTGGTGGAGGTGCTCGATGCACTCGTGGTGCCGGGCGCTGGGGAGGAGTTTGGCAACGGCGGCAGCAGCGGGGTGAGTGGGGAGAGGGACGGGAGAAGCAGGTGGGACGTGGTGTAAACATGGGTGAAAGTTGAGCAAGATTTGGGTAGGATTGGAGTCAGAAATGGGTGAGGATGTGAGGGTTCGGGGCTTGTGCCGCGCGCTGCCTGCTGCCCGACCCTGAGGTTCGGCCCACTGCCGCAGCAGTGGTGGAGGTTCTCGATGCACTCGTGGTGCTGAATGCTGGGGAGGAGTTTGGCAACGGCGGCGGCAGCGGGGTGAGTGGGGAGAGGGACGGGAGAAGCAGGCGTGACGTGCTGTAAACATGGGTGAAAAATGGGCGAATTTTGGGTAGGATTGGAGTAGGAAATGAGTGGGAATGTAGGGTTGAAGGTTTGCACTGCGCTGCGGTGCATGCTGCCGGACCCCGAGGTGAGAGACCCTCGATGCACTCGTGGTGCTGGCCGCTGGGGAGGAGTTTGGCAGCGGTGGCGGGATGAGGGGGGAGATGAGAGAAGGTCAATGGTGGCAGTGTGGCGGTGAGTGAGGTGAGGAGGGAAGCACAATGGTGCCAGTGGATTGCGTGAAAGGAGTGTTTCTCCCTGACATGGAATTGATGATGTGATGGTGTGGGGTCTGGTGATGGTAGCTGTGGTCGAGTGAGTGAGTATTGGTGATTTGTCAGTGTGGTTTTCCAACCTTTTCCTTCCTGTGCTCTTCTTTTCTGTGATTCGTTTCTGTTCCATTGCTGTGTATCGTCGTCTGCAGGCCTATCCTCACCGAAAGGATGTGTAAAAGAATGTCGACAGCGGGATCATTCTATGCTTGCGGATGCCGACTGCAAAGGATATGCATTTGGACAGTTTGACGGTTTTTGCGAACCATACCTAGAATCTCCTGGTCAACGAACTCAAAAAAAAAACGCACCAAGTTATGGCAAGTCACCCTTCTTTGAAATAGTTTATTCAGCTAGGTGCTTCAAGAACGTTTTGTGGGGTATTCCTGGATCTTTATTTTGCTGTAGTGTTTTTTGGGGAATAATAAAGCAACGGTGGGGAATCTCAAATGTACTCGCAATTGGCTCAACACATGCCCCGCACTTCTCCCGAGATCGTGGATGGACAACGTGGCCGGCGGAAATCCTCCCACGTGGACCACTATGCCATACTCACCACCCCGCGTACAATCGTCTAAATCGGTAACAAGTTCGCATACCAATTGCTTTCCTGGTTCAGCTTTGTGAGAGTTTTCGCGAGTCGTCACATCGCACAGGCGGAATTCTTTCGGAGCTGCTGTTGGCTTTCACGAATCACAACAATACTGTCAAATATTCCACCACCCTTTCAGATGCTGGTCTCGGCAATCTCGAGGCTCCTGAATTTCATCCCACCCTGCACTGCTCTGCTTCCTTCGCTGTGACTTTCCCTGACTTCGTTGTGTAACTTCATGGCAGCTCTTTCCACGGCCGCGACACGGCTCCCTTCCTCCAGCCTAGTATCGCTCTCTGGCGTTTCCGGAAGTAACTTGCAGACGAAGGGAGCTACTAGCGTAGCAGGGTGCAGCAGAGGGTTACGGCAAGTTGTTCGTGCCGAGATGGGAGGCGGTGATCAGCCTTCGAGCTCCCAGGTTAGCACGGTTAAGCTTCAAACCATCAACTTCTTAGTTTCTTTTGATCTTGGCGTCTGTGATATTGTGCTTTTGTGCTTAACGGTTCTCATTATTCTTTGGAACCGAGGCATGCGGTTCCTTATCCAGAGCAGCAGCGAATGCAGTGAATTGCGATAAACCGTTTCCAACCTACCTGCTATCCTTATCTTTCCTTTCTCGTAGGCGACTGAGCCCGCTGCGGCAGCGTCTTCATCTAGCGACATCCGGGCACCTGAAAATTTTGTGCCGCCCGAACCTAAGCCGTTCTCCGTAGCGAGCGGTCAGCTGGGAGCCGTGATTGGCGCATCGTTGCCGATCCTCTTCCGCCTCGGCACGGGCGTGTTCAGCGAAGGGTAAGTTTGATGTCATTTCTTGCAGATCCTTTTGTTTCGGCCGTAGCGTCAACGAATCATTCGCTTGTGTTCATCATGTATGCGTTCTGCGCCCTTTTTATTCTTCAAACCACAAGTCAAGAGCTCTCACGTGTTACTATTTCCTCGTGCTGCAGGTACAATGCCAAGGTGGAGTCTTCGTCTGCAGTGAAGGACGAGGATTATGCACTGGGGCCAGTCATGGGTGAGTAAAGTGACAAACCACATCGTGTACGAAGAAGTGTTTTGAGACATCTCAAAACACTTATTCATACACAAAGCCAAGGTGGAGTTCTGCAGTGAAGGACGAGGATTATGCACTGGGGCCAGTCATGGGTGAGTAGACTTCGGATAAACATGCCACGTCTCAGAACTTGACCCCTTTTGGAGCTTCTCCTCCACGTGTCACCGTCTCGCTGGACCAACCATTGTGACTGCGGGGATGCTGTCTTGAGTCGACTTCAACCACAACTGGGTCATTATCTGCTGCGCGCCAGTTCTTCACTGTAGCCGTCGTCGCCTTAGAACTTGCCTGCAGTGAAGGACGACGAGGTTGAGTAGATTGACAAACAATAGAGCAACTAGACTCCAGTCATGACCCGGCAGGGCGATTAGAGACTGGTCCTTGCTGTATTCTCTCCATTGCAGGGTACAAGCTGGTGGAAACCACCACGGGCGAGCTCAAGCCAGCGACTAAGCCCATCGAGCTCTACGAGTTTGAAGGGTGAGTGGGGGTGCACTGCGGGCGGTGTGGTGTGGTTCGGGCAGTTTTGCGAGTCGGGATGTTAGAATTCTTAAGAACGGCTTGTGAGGAGCGTGGGAGTTGTGGTTGCTGGTTCCTTGCTTTGGCAAGGCATAAAGCGAGTGTGCGGCGTGAAGACAGGGAAAAGGGGTCGTGCACATGCAAAGCAGCGGCATTTTTGGAAGGGACAGGGCTGATTAATCACCTGGAAAATCCACCGAAACAACGATGTAAGCATGCTACATAGGTTCGCAATAATTGGAGTCGAGGTGGCTTTTGGGTCGACTCAAAAATATTTCTTGTCCTTCCATAGCTGTAGTTGATCTGACCCTCTCACGCTTATGCCTTCCTTTCATGTCTCTGAGACAAACCCCCCGCCCCATCCCTCTCCAACCCCCCCCACCATCCCCTCCCCCTTTCCCCCCAAACCTTCCGGCTGTCGACATGTTCCACTCTCGTGCTGCTGGCTCCCTTGGCTGCTTGGTCTCATGCCCTCCTGCGCCTACAGCTGTCCGTTTTGCCGCAAGGTACACCCCACCTCGTGTTCCTACCTATGCGTGTTCATGCCTGCCCATGCTTGCCCATGCCACTCTCATGCCCTTCTGCGCCTTCAGCTGTCCGTTCTGTCGTACGGTGCACCCTCATCACCACCCGCCCTGCCCCTGCCTATCCCTGTCTATGCCTGTTCATGCTTGCCCACGCCTGCCCGCCACGCTTGTGCATGTTCATGCCTGCTGCTCAATGGCCCTTCCTTCGAGCCCACCTGGGCCCCAACTCCCCCTAACGCCACTCCCTAACCTGCTATCGGTAACGAGTGTTGGACCTAGGCGGGCTCCTCAACGTGCATTGAGGTGGTTTTTGAGGCGCCTCAAAAACCACCTATCTTGCTATTGGTAACGAGTGTTGGGCCTAGACGTGTTCCTCTACCCGTGCCCTGTCAACTGGGCTCAATGACTCTTTGTGATCTCCGTGCCTCACTTGCACTCCCTGCCCGCCAGGTCCGTGAGATGGTATCAGTGCTGGATCTAGACGTGCTCTTCTACCCGTGCCCTCCACGCCCTTGCTTTGTATGCCATCTCCATTCCCATGTCTCACCCAACATATCTCCACCCCTAACTCTCTCAGGTCCGTGAGATGGTGTCAGTGTTGGATCTAGACGTGCTCTTCTACCCGTGCCCAGTCAATGGACCCACGTACCGACCCAAGGCCATTGAGATGGGCGGCAAGAGGCAGTTCCCCTACATGGTGCGTTACACGTCTGATTAACGCTCTCTGTATTCTTCTTTCTGCATTTACATTCCATCTCTCTTGATCCGTAAGGTAGAAGTTGTCATTCACGCGATGTGCTTGGGTTGGCTCTCCTTTGGATCCTTGGTTCTCCATTCCTGGAAAGAGTCCATTCTTCCTCTTTCCCCTTGAATACATGTACTGTCCTCTCACACCAATCTCCCCACTTGCAACCATTACAGGTGGATCCCAACACGGGAGTGAGCATGTACGAGTCGGATGAAATCATCAAGTACCTCGCCAACACTTATGGTATGTGTCATCTCTAGGAGTAGTCATCCCTATGTATACAGAGCAACAAAAACACACTTTTTGAGGAAGTTAGCAACCTCGCCCAATTTCCCCCAATCTTCCCCTATCCCGCAACCCCACTACCCGCTCACTCATTCTGCAGGCAACGGGTCCATCCCTCTCATGCTTCAACTCGGCCCTATCACTGTGGGTGGCTGAATATACGTACCACGAATGTGTGAAACACAAAATATCACACTCGGAGCCTGAAACACAGAACCTCAAACACAGGACCAGCACCTTTGGTGGGGCCGAGCACAGTGATTGTCATTGACACAGTGATTCTTTTTCCTAACAGTGGTGCTGTCTAACATCTTGTTTCATTGACTGCACTAAGTCTAGCAAAACACAATGCATGGTACAAGGCATGTTTTGCCTTGTTTCTGCACTGTTCCTCCCTTTCTTACCCTTTTTGTCACCCCTTTTCTCAACCCCATTCTCACCCCCTTACGCATCCCATCCCTTTCCCACCCACCTTTCCAGTCTATCACTGCGGGACTGGCAGGCATTGGTCGCGCAATGAAGGTATGTGCTTCACACATTCTCATCGTGATTCTCTAGCCTGCTAGATTCATTTGTTTTCCCGAACAGGATTCGTCTTTACATTTATCCTCTTGATCCCCTGTGTCGCTTTGTAGTTGGCTCGAGAATTGATTTATCTGAGCAGGCTTCTCGGATTGTGTCCCTCAATGCCTTACTGTTTTAAAACTGGCTTCTTTTGAATGAAATCCATACCAACTACCGCCACAGCCATCGTTAATTAAGTCTGCTGTGTCCGCCTGTCTTCTCGAGTACTGTGCAGGGAAGCCGCTATGTACTAGCAAAGATGCCTTCTGCAACGTCTAAAAAATGGCTTCTCTCAATCTGCCTGCCTTCCACTTTACTGTGCAGGGAAGCCGCTATGTACCAGCAAAGATGCCGCCCCAGCCACTGGAAGTGTGGGCGTACGAGGTGCGTAGGAATGGGGTCTATTAGGGTGCGTGTTTAGGGCAGAGAGGGAAGATGAGTTGACAGCAGGGAGGATGTGTTTTTACAGAAGGTAAGTGTGTTCTGTCTGCTGTGCTGTGTGCTGGCAAAGATGCTGCTTGAGTCGCTGGAAGTGGGGGCGTACGAGGTGCGTTATGCACATGGGGCATTCCTGCCCCACTCCCTCCCGCCATTCCTGCCCACACTCCCCCTTCTGCAAGCTGGTGCGGGAAGCACTGTGCGAGATGGAGCTCCAAACATCCTCCTCACCTCTTTGCATCCTCCCCACTCATGCATGCCTTCCCCCCTCCCTGCTCTCTCCCTGCAGCCCTCTCCCTTCTGCAAGCTCGTGCGTGAAGCCCTGTGCGAGTTGGAACTGCCACACATCTACCACGCGTAAGGCACCACTCGCTGCCTCTTCATCCTCATAATCATCCGCCTCATTCTACCTGTCTACCTTAGTAGCACCTACTCGCTTGGTCCTTCTGAATTCTCTGATACCGATTCTGCCCACATTCCCCCACCCACGCAGCACACCGAGAGGCAGTCCCAAGAGGGAGGCTCTTAAGAAGAGAATCGGCCGTCCAGGTGAGCATGCATTGCTGCTGCTAGGGTGGCTCATTGTTGTTTTAGGCATGCTTAAAAGGTGGACAGGCTGTGCTAGTCTCCAGGGAAGAGTACGCAACTTTTGGAGTGATACTATTGCAACCCCAGCGTGATACCCTTTGTTTTCAAACAGCGCACCCTCTTTCTTCCCACACCTGGTCTTTTCATGGTTCTCTTCTGCTTTATTTTACTTCTCTCAGGACCCCTATCATGAAACCTCAACACGGCCTCTTTCTCCATTTTTCTGCCTTCCGTGTGGTTCCTCCTTTGATTCCCCTTGACTGCAACCAGGCCCCTTATCTCGAGGACCCTAACACAGGAGTGAAGATGTTTGAGAGTGCAGCCATTGTCAAGTACCTTTATGACACTTATGCTCTCAACCCTTAAATCCAGCACAGCGACTTTTAAAGGTATGATCAGCTTCCGCTGTATGGCATTGTGTCCACGGTAATTTGTGTTCGCTATTCATATCGTGTAGCTTGTTGGATACGGTTCGATTCACATTTCCCCACCTCCTGTTTACGCCCTCTTCCCCGTTCCTGCATGTGACAGGTACATGCATCGGCATGTTGAATATGCCATTAATAAGAGTACAATACATGTGTTGTTAGTTTGGGTGCAAGCAATCTAGATATTGCAAGTGTATATCCTGCTCGTGTTTTATACAAACATTAGCTCGAAATGCGTGCCAAAGGGAGGGGCACCTAATGCCAGAATTATGCATATAGCCATCATATGTCATCTAGCAATGTGCCACCATTCTAAACAAAAACGAACAACATATATCCCTATCGTGTACAGCTGATGCTCACCCCATGCACGCGAATTTGCCTTGCGCCGGATGGATACGCTGCACCCGAGGTTGTTTCCCCAGCTTCATGCACCTACATTACAAGCGCGTCGCGTGGTTATCAACCAGTAGTAACGAACAGACCGACGTCAAACTAGGTACAGACCGAAGTCAAGCAGAGGAGACTGAAGTCAAACTAGGTTACAGGTCTTGTTTATAAGCACATGCGAATCATTTTTAGCTAGCTGCGAATTGCCGAAACTTATGCGAAATGCTCGTGACAGCTTATACGCCCCCTTCGTAAGGCAACCGGGAGGGGCTCAAACAGGCATCAGGTGTAATACCTTTTGTTCAGTGAACACTCTGGCGAATCTGTTTGAATCGAAGCACAACAACAACAATGAAAAAAACCCGCCCTTCCAGTCGACGTTTTTTTGCCAAAGACCGATAGGTACCGTGCTTTACCGCACGTCGAGTGTTGCAGCCAGCTTCATTCGTGATTCCCGAAGGTCGCGCTTTGTTAGGACCGGTTTGCAGCGGCGACCCTGTTTTCAGACCGCCTTGTCACATTGCGACGCTGGCTTGAAAAAATGCTGGCATCCGCGAACGTTCCGCTTCCGCCTACCGCGGATCCCGCGGATGTCTCCCCAGCGCGCATTGCGCCCTGCGCGTACGAGTTGCACAATGACAGCCGGGGGAAGGAAATGCTCCGCCACACGGACGAGCTTGCGCCTTTCCGCTGGTCCTCCAGGTGCGCCCGCCCCCCTCGCCACTGCGCCGCTGCCCTAGCGGTTCCCCCCGTAGTTTCCCCCGCGGGCATCGCGCCCTTCGCGTACGAGTTTGCGGAATGACAGCCGGGGGAAGGAAATGCTCCGCCACACGGACGAGCTTGCGCCTTTCCGCTGGTCCTCCAGGTGCGTCCGCCCCCCTCGCCACTGCGCCGCTGCTAGCGGTGACTATTGAGTCGACTCAACAGCCACACGGACAAGCTTGCGCCTTTCCGCTGGTCCTCCAGGTGTGCCCTAAACCCTGGCGTCATTTCCTCCCCTTCCCTCCACAGTCCCCCCCCACGCCCCCACCCCTGCTGCTCCCCCTTTCCCCTTTTCCTTCAAGCTGTGCGCAACTCACCTGCAGAACCATGAGACTCCTCTCCCCCATCCCCCCCCTCCCATCCCCCTCCTCTCCCCCTCTCTCCTCTCACCTTTCCCCCTCTCTTCCTCCTCCCTTCCCCCCTCCCTTCCCCTTTCCCTTCCCACCACGCCTTCCCCCCTCCCTTCCCCTCGCTTCCCCCTCCCTTCCCCCACCCTTTCCCCTTCAGGCTGTGCGCGACTCATCCACAGAACCGTCGCGTCCCCCAACCCTCTTTCCACTTATCTTCCCCCCACCCCGTTCCCCCTCCCGTCTCCCTCCGCACATTTTCCCCATCAAGCTGTGCCCCGCTTTTGATGAGGAAATGGTGCGCGGCTCTCCTGCACAACCGTGAAACAGTGTTCTGAGGTCCTATTTTTTCTTTCCTCTCTTTGCTCCCCCTGCTGTTTGCCCCACTTTTGATTTCCCCCTCAGGCTGTGCGCGGCTCACCTGCAGAACAGGCCGTGGCAAGCAGTGCACCCCCTCCCACTCCCTCCCAACCCCTCCCACCCCTTCCCAACCACTTCCCGCCCCCTCCCACCCCTCCCCCTTTTTGTTACCGTCAGGCTGTGCACGGCTCACCTGCAGAACCGCCCGTGGCAAGCAGTGCACGCGTTCTATGCCAGCCTGGCAGCAGGACACGTGGCGCTCTCTGATTTGTCCAGCAGTTCGCCTGCTAATGGTCAGGGGGTTGCAGCTGATAAGCAGAGTGAAACAGATGAACAACGCGTGCCTGATGCTGCTGCTGTAGCTACTGCCTTTACTGATGATGCGGCTGCTACTGAAAGTTATGTTGCCACTGGTGCTGGTGGGAAGAAGGCAACTCGAGGGAGCAGGGACGGGGCGTGGGAGGGGCGCAGCACGGTGCAGCTGGTGGTGGCATACGATGGAGGGGCGTTCCATGGGTACCAGAGCCAACAGGGAGAAGTCACGGTGCAGAGGTATGGTGCGGTGGTGTGCAGTGATGTGCGATGGTGTGTGGTGCTGTGTGGTGGGATACAGTGTGGGAGAATAGCATCTCAAACGAGCAGGCACGGGGCGTGGGAGGGGCGCAGCACAGTGCGACTGGTGGTGGCATACGATGGGGGCGCGTTCCATGGGTACCAGAGCCAGCAAGTAGCAGTCACGGTGCAGAGGTGCGTAGTGTGGTACTGTGTGGTAGGGTGCAGGGTGATGGGTTACCAGATGCGGCTGGTGGTGGCATACGATGGGGGGGCGTTTCATGGATATCAGAGCCAGCAGAGAGCAGTGACAGTGCAAAGGTATGGTATGGTGCGGTACTGTGCGGTGGTGTGTGGTGGGATATTGTGTTGTTGTGTGAAGAAGGCATCTAGAGGGGGAGCAGGGGCAGAGTGTGGGAGTGGGAGGGGTGCAGCACGGTGCAACAGGTGGTGGCATACGATGGGGGGGCGTTTCATATGTATCAGAGCCAGCAGGGAGCAGTGACAGTGCAGAGGTGTGTGGTGGGGTATTGTGTGGTGATGTGTGGTGGGTTACAGTGCAACTGGTGGTGGCATATGATGAAGGGGCGTTCTACGGGTATCAGAGCCAGCAGGGGGCAGTTACAGTGCAGAGGTGTGGGGTGCGGTACAGGAGAAGGAAGGTGGGAGAAGGGTGCGTTAGCACCTGTTCCCTCTCTCTAACCACCGTTCCTACCCCCCTTCAACCCATTCTTCCCCCTCTCACCAGCACGCTAGAGTCCGCCCTAGCCCCTTTTTGCGAGCACCACCCAAAGAAGCAGCAGGGGAGGGCGAGAGGGCAGGGCGGTAGCAAGGCATGGAAGGAGCGACGAGAGAAGAAGGGAGGGGTGAAGCGGACAGGGGAGGAGGGGCAGGAGAAGCAGAGGGAGGAGGGGCAGGAGAAGCAAAGGGAGGAGGGGAAGGAGAAGCAAGGGGAGGAGGGGGAGGAGAAGCAAAGGGAGGAGGGGCAGGAGAAGCAAGGGGAGGAGGGGGAGGAGAAGCAAAGGGAGGAGGGGCAGGAGAAGCAAGGGGAGGAGGGGGAGGAGAAGCAAAGGGAGGAGGGGCAGGAGAAGCAAGGGGAGGAGGGGGAGGAGAAGCAAAGGGAGGAGGGGCAGGAGAAGCAAGGGGAGGAGGGGGAGGAGAAGCAAAGGGAGGAGGGGCAGGAGAAGCAAGGGGAGGAGGGGGAGGAGAAGCAAAGGGAGGAGGGGCAGGAGAAGCAAGGGGAGGAGGGGGAGGAGAAGCAAAGAGAGGAGGGGCAGGAGAAGCAAGGGGAGGAGGGGGAGGAGAAGCAAGGGGAGGAGGGGCAGGAGAAGCAAAGGGAGGAGGGGCAGGAGATTGGGGACTTGGAGAGTATGAGGGAGAGGTGTGACAAGGGAGGTGGGCTGAAGGTTACAAGGGTAGCAGTAGTGGTGGCTGGAAGGACGGACAAGGGCGTGCATGCAGCAGGGCAAGTGTGTGCCTTCCGTGAGTTTCTCTGCCGTGTCTTTTGAGTCAACTCAAAACTCGAATAACTTGGTTCCTCGATTTCTTTCTTTCTTTCTTTCTTTCTTTCTTTCTTTCTTTCTTTCTTTCTTCTTTCTTCTTTCTTCCTTCCTTCCTTCCTTCCTTCCTTCCTTCCTTCCTTCCTTCCTTCCTTCCTTCCTTCCTTCCTTCCTTCCTTCCTTCTTCCTTCCTTCTTGCTTTCTTTCTTTCTTTCTTTCTTTCTTTCTTTCTTTCTTTCTTTCTTTCTTTCTTTCTTTCTTTCTTTCTTTCTTTCTTTCTTTCTTTCTTTCTTTCTTTCTTTCTTTCTGCCTTTCTTTCTTTCTCTCTTTCTTTCTTAACATCCCTAATATTTGTATGTGCAACTGGGTGAGTGCACGTGTTTCTCCTCTTTTTTGCCTCCCCCTCTCCCCCCCCACCCCACCAGACACATGGAAGGACCCCCTGGATCTCACAGCAGTAGCTGCAGCTGTTGATGCAGCAGCCGAGGGAAGCCTGAGAGTCATCAGCATTTCCAAGGTACTTCGAGTTTGAGAAAGAGGGCCAGTCTCAGTGGTAGTGATACCTCGCCTTTCGTTCCTCCCTTCCCCTATCCTTTCGTTTCCTTCCCTTTTCCTTGTTTCGCTCCTTTCTTTTTATTATTGTCATTAGTATTAGTGTTATTATTAATGTTGTTATCATTACTATTACTACTACTACTATTATTACTATTATTGTTAATTTTTTTATTATTATTATTGTTGTTGTTATTATTATTATTATGATTATTGTTATTATCATTATTATTATTATTATTATTATTATTTGCTGCGATGGGAGTGATGGGCATTAAACTGCCCTACTCAATCCTTCTGCTCTCCCTCCTCCTCCCTTATCCCTCCCTGCCCCGCAGGTCCCTCGCTCCTTCCATCCGCAATTCTCAGCTCGCTGGCGCCGGTACCTCTACCTCCTGCCGCTGCTGCAATGAGAGTGATACGCATCAGACCATCCCACTCAATCCTCCTGCTCTCCCTCTTCTTCCTTATCCCTCCCTGCCCCTCAGGTCCCTCGTTCCTTCCACCCGCAATTCTCAGCTCGCTGGCGCCGCTACCTCTACCTCCTGCCGCTGCTGCAGTGGGAGGGGTGCGCATTAGGAAGCCTGAGCGTGAGAATGTGTGCTTGTGCAGAGAGGCCCAGTGGAGAAGGGAGATCAGCACTAGAAGGAGGGTTAGAAGGAGAGTCGGATCGTGATGCATTGCCTCTTGGTTCAGAGGTGTTACAAATGGAGGGTCTGAGCGCGTATGAAAACACCACTTGGGGGTATTTGCCTGTTGCCGTGCCCTTGCGTATGGAGCAAGGGAAGGTGGAAAAGAGAGGAGAAGTTGCGGAGAGGATTGCGGAGGGAAGGAAGGAGTTTGGAGAAACGGAGGCAAGAGGAGGGATGACAGGGGTGTGCGCATGCGGGTCGTGCACCCGCGTTAAGAAGGCGTGTGTGGCCGTGCTGGACCCTTTTGATGCGAGGTGTATGGGAGAAAACGCCTTCAAGCGCGGCTGTAGAGATGATGGAAGAGAGGCGTGTGAGACGTGAGGATGCTGCCGCTAGTGCTGTTGATGATAGTGGTGGTGGTGGTGGTGGTGCCGCTGCTGACAGTGGTGCTGCTGTTGATGGTGGCAATGGTGCTGCTGCTGGTGGTGCTGCTTATTCAATGGAGGTTGATGGGAATGGCAAAAGTATGGATGTTCCTCAGATGGCTTACCGTGTCACGAGCAGCAATTGCCTGACCTCTTGTATCAGTCAAAACGGCATCACCAGCAGAAGCTGCAGCAGCAACAGCCATATTGGCAGCAACAAAGATGCTTCTCCATTCAAGCCGGCGTGCATGCATGTGCCACGAGTGCACGCCATGCTACATGCTCTGGAGACCCATACCCGCGCCCATGGCCCCACCTGCTTCCGTGCATTTGCCCGCGACACTGCTGCTGGCAGAGGCAGGTGAGAGAGGGCTGGTATGTGGTGGGAGGGATGTGTGTGCAGTGCAATAACCCATACACGTGCCCGCGACACTGCTGCTGGCAGAGGCAGGTGAGAGAGGGATAGGAGGTGGGGTAGGAGGGAGGGGTGGTGGTGGTTGTGGGTGCACACTCCCCTGCATGCTCTGGAGACCCATACCCGCGCCCATGGCCCCACCTGCTTCCGAGCATTCGCCCGCGACACTGCCGCTGGTAGAGGCAGGTGAGAGAGGGATGGGTGTATGGTGGTAGGGATGTGCGTGCAGTGCAGTGCAATAACCCGTACCCGTGCCCAGTGACCCGTACCCGTACCCGTGGGAAGGGAGGGAAGGATGTGTGTGCAGTGCAGTGACCCATGCTCGCGCCCATGGCCCCACGTGCTTCCGCTCGTTTGCCCGCGACACTGCTGCTGGCAGAGGCAGGTAAGGAGGCCAGGTCGGAAGGGGAAGTGTGAGGGGCCCATGTCGAAGGGAGGTGTGAAGGCGAGGAACGTGGAGGGAGGTGTGATGGGCAGGTGGAGGGGGGGTGAGGAGAGGAAGTGGGGCGGAGTATAATGTGGTTCAGAACACGTTATTGTGCATGTTCGGTTCGAAGCATATTTCATGCCTTTTCTAGATGTTTTAGATGCCTCAAAGAAAGGCCTCGCAAGCAGCGATGTGTCCTCAGATGTTGGTGCTCCTTGCGTGTTGTATTTCCCCACTGCTCTCTTTTAACAGCGGATCCGCTACAGTGTGCAATATCTTGCGAGCAAGAGCCTTTGAAGCGCGCTTACCTGTTGCTACAGTGCAAGCTGGTGTGACCAGAGCAGCACTTGCAGGAACAGCAGGGGTAGCATCAGCAGCAAGATCACCTGATGTGACCAGAGCAGCGCTAGCAGGGGCAGCAGGAGTAGCACTGGCAGGGGGACGCGGAATGAGCATGGCAACAGCAGCAGCAGGAGCAGCAGCAGGAGGTGCAGGGGAATTGGAACGAACAGCAGCAGCCACAGCAGCAGCACCCCCACGGCTAAGGGTGCTGTGTGTGGAACTGGTGGGAGATAGATTCCTGCGCCGGGTACGTGTGTGTGATGCTTTCCTTTTCCTGATCAGCATCAGATTAGTTGAATTACCGTAGAAGTCGTCTACTTAAGAGTCACTGCCTTCTTCGTCGGGTCAAGAATGACTTTCTAAGTTGGGAGTTATTATTTAGAATTCTCAAGAATGACTGCTAGCTGACCCTGTAGTCCCTGTGGCTTCCAATTAATCAGATGGTGCAAGTGCAGGTGGCAACGGTAGTGAGGGAGGCGGTAGCAGGGGGAGGTGACAACTGCCTGCCTCCCAGATTTTCTGAGTTGCAATGCATTCACCCATACATACCATACTTGACCCCTCCTCACACCCCCCCTCTCTTCTACCTTCCTGTCAGATGGTGCGAGTGCTGGTGGCAACAGCAGTGAGGGAGGCAGCAGCAGAGGGTGTTGACAACTGCCTGCCTCCCAGCTTTGCCGCATTTCAAAGCGTTCACCCATACTCACCACACCTGACCCCTTCTCTCATCCCTCACCTGTTCTCACTTACTGTCAGATGGTGCGAGTGCTGGTGGCGACGGCAGTGAGGGAGGCAGCAGCAGGGGGGGGTGACAACTGCCTGCTGAGACTAGCAGCAACAGGGGAGAGGCGGTCCACAGCACCCCCTGCTCCTGCTGCTGGGCTGTGCCTCGTGGACGTGGGCTACAGTGATGCTTTACCACCACTACTATAATGCAAACATAGCAGCTGGCGCTGGCAGCAACAGGGGAGAGGCGGTCCACTGCCCCCCCTGCTCCTGCTGCTGGGCTGTGCCTGGTTGATGTCGGTTACAGTGATGTCTTACCACCACCATTATAATGGAATCGCCTTGCCTCTACCCTTATAGTGCGGCATACCGTAATCACCCGGACATACCACCCTAGGGTGCTATGATAACACCCGGGGGGGGGGGGGGGGGGGGGGGGGGGGGGGGAGGGGGGGGCTACTCATCGGAAAAAGCTACATATAACACCCGGGTCTTTTATACGGTATTTTTTAGTATAAGGATTTTGATGAAAAGACAACTTGGGTGTTTTCAGAATTGGTTTAACATCACAGCTAGAAGCGAGAATGTGGGTTTCGGTGAGAACCTTTTTGCTCCCCTTGAAATTGACAGGTAGCACCTTTTTTGCCACTTGTTATCGAACGATCTACCAGCGTGGCAGCAGCGTGAAAGGGGGAGGGAAGTGATTTCGGCAGATTCTGTCGAAATTTCCATGTAGTTTCATCGAGGAAGTGATTTCCGCGATGTTGTGAAGTACTCGCTAACAGATAAAATATAAACTTCGTAAGAAAGCGGGGGTGTTATAGACAATCGCCCCAAGAGGGGGGTATAGTAGAAACGAGGTCCGCTATAGCACCCACCCCGCACAAGCCACCCGGGGGGTCTTCAATTTCGGCGGGTGGTATGTCCGGGTGATTACGGCAGCAGTATGCTACGGCTGGCAGCAACAGGGGAGAGGCGGTCCACCGCTCCTCCTGCGCCTGCTGCCGGGCTGTGCCTCGTGGACGTGGGCTACAGTGACGCCTTGCCACCACGGCTATAATAGAATGCGTTATCAACTGTTGATAACTGCTGGCACTGGCAGCAACAAGGGAGAGGCGAATAAAAGCTGTCCCTGCCCCTGCTGCTGGGCTGTGCCCGGTCGACGTGGGCTACACTGATGCGTTGCCCACCACTATTACTGTATAAATGATGTACATACACTACATGATTAATCATTCGATTCAAGGTAAAAAAGGGTCTTCTTGATACGAAGCTCTGCTGCGCCATCAAACAAGTTTCTTGCACAGTTGCATTGTCCCATGTGTTGTTAATGAGTCAGTATGTGCATGGCTTTTGAGACGTCTCAGAAGTCATGTGTTGTTAACGAGTCAGTATGTGCATGGCATGGCACGGTAGTGTAGCATTGTTCTGGGGCGCCCCAAAACAAGACATTTTAGAGCTACCGTATTACATGGCATGGCAGGATATCATTCTAGAATGTCGTGTGCTGTCAACGAGTAAACTAAAGCCTGAAAGCATCGTACTGGGACACCCTAAAACGAGTCCTCTTATAGCATGCGCATGGAAGGATAGTCACTCAGTATGTCATGTGCTGTCAACGAGTCAGAGGGATCTTGGGGCGTCCACAGCACTTCCACACCCTGCAGCGGATAGAAGTGCAGAGCGGTACACAGCGGTACAGAATGGTACACACAGGTAGAGGAAGGCGGAGTCAGCTTATAGCATGCACATGGAAGGATAGTCACTGAGAACGTCATGCGCTGTCAACGAGTCAGCGGGGTCTTGGGGCGTCCACAGCACTTCCGCACCCTGCAGTGGAGAGCGGTACAGCCAGGTAGCGGCAGGTGAAGACAGGTGGAGGCAGGCGGAGGCAATTAGATGCATCAGCGGGATGGAATGAGGGTTGGTGGCATAGAAAACACTGCATATTTCAACCCTAGACACGAGGGAGGCAGCTGAGAACTAGGCAGCTGGGCTGAAAATTAACTAGCCAGTGAAGAATTCATTGAACACTGGAATACATTAACTGGACGGAGTAATGCCCACAGTGGCCGTTTCTCATCTCCCATCCCCTCCTTCAGACTTAACCCAACTTCCACCAGAAACCCACACCCACACCATTCCTCCCCACCCAACATGCTCCACTTGTCGATCGCTGAATCTGTAACAGATTCTCCACTTATTGATCTCACCTGCAACTCGTCTATTGGAATAGAGCCCAGTCTCGCGAGGGCCTCTTTCAACGAAGGTGCAGATTTCACTTCGGGCAGGCTCAAGGTTCCCTCACAGGCTGCTGTTATGGTCACCTGCGTGAACAAGAGGAGCGAAGGAGGAAAAGTCTTGAAAAAAAAAAATCAGAGACTGGTGAAGGGTACAGTGACAACATATCAGCGCCCTTGCAATGGAGGACAGGGAGCTGCTGCGATGGCTGATAAACAAAGTTTACCAGCATTTGGTGTGAAACATCGCACCCAGAAACACCCGTTTTACAATGACCCTTTGCAGCATGTAGTGAGCGGTACAGAGCAACGGAAGCCCACACTCACCACATTCCACTCTGGAGCTGCCCTCCCTATGCACTGCACTGTGCGGGCTCCCCTCCTCACCATGCTCCCTTAAAGCCACACACACATACAAGACAATCAGACCCACCAAATACCACACTCACCACGAAGGACTCGGTGGAACTCCCTTCCTGCTGCACCGTGCGGGCTCCCCTCCTCCTCGTTGCCACGTCCCCTCGAAGCCAGACCTACATGCAGGACAGCCAGACCTACCTAATCACAACACTCACCACAATGTACTATGTGGGACTCCCCTCCTGCGGCACCATACATGACCTCCTTAGCTCTTGGGACTATACTATCCTGGACCACTTCACCCAGCTTTTTGGCCCTGGATACTGGATTCCAAACACAGAGCAGACTAAGACGGCGCAGCCGCAAGTCTTTCTCCCTATTCGCCTTGGAGGTTTTGGTCTTCTTTCCTCCGCCCCTACAGCACCTCTCAGCTACCTTTGCAATTGGGCGCAAACGCTTCCATTATTGTACACGCACTTCATCACTGACGGCTTGCCGCTTCTTTGCCGCTTTCTCTCTTCTGACTCCATTCACCGCCTCGACGAGTTCATCCCAGCCGCCACAACCATGCTCTCAGGTCTCATCTTCTACGCGGCTATCCCCCCTAACCCTTCACGCACCTCTCGCAGCAGCGCGAGGCTTCTTTGCATGAGAAAGCCAGCGCCACTGTCACTACCCCTATTTGCCTGACCCGTGTAACCTCCCTGCAAGGCATGCGAGGGATTGGCTAAATGCGGCTCCTTCTTCGCCTCAGCTCTAGCTCACTGCCCTCTTCAGGCTCTTCCCTTCCATCCCATGCTCTTCGTTGCCCCAAAAACAACGAGTCTATCAAAGTGCACGACGCCATCAAGCATGAACTGCACCGCATCACTATGGAGCTCGGCCACCACAGCGGAAAGACCACCACCTCCTTCCAGATCGTCGACCTGACATCAGCTGCAGAGACGTCCAGGCTGGCACCACGTGGGCTTTGGACATTTCAGAAGCTCACCCGCAACACGGCTTACCCCACTCCAATGCTGCCACCGTCATCGGTTCAGCTGCTGCACCATGCGAAACTGAGAAAGCAATACTGTACGCATCATCTTTGCATGCTCGACCCGAAGACCAAAACCCCCTAAGCGAATAGAGAGAAGACTTGTCACTGTGCCGCCTTAGTCTGCTCCGTGTCTAGAATCCGGTAAGCAGAGCCAAAAAACTGGGTGAAATGGTCCAGGATAGAACTCCCGTCCCCCTCGCCCTCCCCATTCTCCCCTGAAACCAGACCTGCACGCCCCTCACCCATAAACCCCCCACTCACCACAATGTACTCGGTGGAGCTCCCCTCTTACCGCACCATACGGGCTCCTCTCCTCCTCCGCCTCTTCGCCACTCTGCCTAGAAATCCAGACTCACATACAAGTCAAGCTGACCCCTCCCACCACACTCACCACAATGTACTCAGTCGAGCTCCCCTCCTGCTGCACCATGTGTGTACCCCTCCTCCTCGCCATGCCGCCTTACAGCCAGACTCCTATACAAGACAGCCTAACCCACAGGATACCCCCCTTACCACAGTGAACTCAGTTGAACTCCCCTCCTGCTGCACTGTGCGTGCTCCTCCTCTTCCTCCTCCTCGCCATACCGCCCCCCACGTTCACCACCGTTTCTTCCTGGAACTTTCTCCGCTCCTCCATGCTCGCCCGGTTGAACGCTGTCTCTCCGGCTGTGGCATCGCGGTAAGTAGCGGACTGAGATGGCGGAGGGAAGGGGGGCCGTGGGAGAGGAGAGGGGAGAACGAGGAAGACGATCGATTGCCTCCTCTCCTCCATGCATCGCGATAGACAGCGGACTGAAATGGCGGAGGGAGAAAAGTTACAAAATTTGTTTGCTTGAGGGAAATGAGTTTCGTACTGAGCCGGGGAGCAGAAGGAGGAGAAGGGAGACGAGCGGGAGTTGTTGGAGGAAGGGTTCAGAAGGAGGAGAACGAGGACGAGCGGAAGGTGTTGGAGGAAGGGGAGCAGAAGGAAGAGAAGGGGGACGAGCGGGAGCTGTTGGAGGAAGGGGTTCAGAAGGAGGAGAAGGACGAGCGGGAGCTGTTGGAGGAAGGGGAGCAGAAGGAGGAGGAGTCGTTGGGGCTGGACCTTTTCCTCCAACAGCTCCCGCTCGTCCCCCTTCTCCTCCTTCTGCTCCCCTTCCTCCAACGGCTCCCGCACCTCCCCCTTCTCCTCTTTCTGAACCCCTTCCTCCAACAGCTCCCGCTCGTCCCCTACCCAAAAAAAAAAAAAAAAGAGTACAAGTGGGTGAGGGTGTATGGAGCACAAGTGGGGTCCAAGATACATCAGATGGTAGAGGGTGTATGGGGTAGACGCGTACAGAGGAGAAGCCATAGACGCAGTAGTCGGGATGTCGCAGGAGAGCAAGAATGGTCTCTGCAAGTGGGTTCAGATGGGTTGGAATGGGTTGGGGAATTTTATTGGGGGAAACGAGGCCGTTAGAGGGTAGATGCGTACCGAGGAGAAGCCATAGACACAGTAGTCGGGATGGCGCAGGAGAGCAAGAATGGTCTCTGCGGGTGGGTTCGAATGGGTTGGATGGGGTGGTTTTGGGAATTTGGGGTGGGTGGAACAACAGTGAGGCAGAGAGGGAGGAGAGTTAGTGGAGTTACCGAGGATGTAAGGGAGCGAAGGCAGGTTAGTGCAGTTACTGGAGCGAAGGCAGCAGGTAGCGCAGCCCATCTGGGGACTTCACTTCTGCTCGCTCTGTTGTTTTTCCTAGACAGCATTCACGAATATGCACTCACGCACGCACTCGCCCCTCCCCAACACACACACACGTACTGTACACCGTTTCCCCACCTCGTGTGTGCATCGTGGGTGTATATCTGATTCACAAAACACAGTTCACACACCCTGCAGCAGGTAGTGCAGCCCATCTTGGGGTGACACGTCCGCTCTTCCAGCTAATCTCTCTGCACCACACCACACCACACCACACCACACCACACACAGTTCACACACCTTGCAGCAGGTAGTGCAGCCCATCTTGGGATGTCACGTCCGCCCTGTCTGCTACACGCACATGTGTGAATCTCCTAGTATTTCGAACCCAGTTCACACACCTTGCAGCAGGTAATGCAGCCCATCTTGGGATGTCACGTCGGCCCTATCCGCTATTCTCTCCAAGTCAGCTTGAAGCCTTCGCGCTGCCCCCAGCAACCCAACCTGCCACGTGAGAAACAGGGAAATTGGATTCATAAATTGACTGAAAATAGAGATGACATTGGATTCACTCTCTAACCAGACCATAAGGATTTGCAACGACCCTTTCAGAGTCCATTTTTTTTTTACCAACGTTGAGTTCACACAAAAATACCGTATTGCACCTCTCTGCACCCACCTGTAGTTGCACCACACTGCACCGCTCCGCATCTTCCAGCTCCCTGTCTTCTTCCCACTGCCCCAGAAACCCCCGAATTGTTTGCACTAAAGCGAAAGTCACCATCCCAAACACCAGGAGATTAAATACAGTCCCGAACGCGCCCCCTCCGCCGCCCCTTCCGCCGACGTTAATCGTCACGGCGGGGCGCGGGGCAAAGGGGGACCATCCCCAGCCCCATCCGCCTCCCCACCCCCCGAAGAAGGGGGAAGGCGCAAAGAAGGGCGCGGATGGCGCAAAGAAGAAGTTGCGCGAGGGATTGGCGGAATAATGGCGGGATTGGTACGAGGAGGACGACGAGGGGTTCGAGTAGGAATAAGATTGCGACGGGCCGGAGCGCGATTGCGAGCGAGAGCGTGAGGAGGAGGAAGAGGAGGACGACGAGAAGGCGCTTCCGCCGACGCGTCCGCCGGATTTCGCGGCGTGCGCGACGCCGGGGAGCGACGCGGCGAGGAGCAGGCAGACGGCGAAGGTGAGAAACGCGGGCTTGACTGTAACGGACGCGAGTTGTGACTGTAACGAGGGGAGGTTGAGCGAGCGGAGGGGAGCGAGAAGAGAGGCCAGCGCGTCTCGACTGAGGGACCTTAGGTTTGTTAAGAGTGGGATGAACTTTAGGAGGAATAAGTTGAAATGGTTGGAGAGCGAAGTTGCGGAGGGTTGGGCCTGCGGTTGAGCGGCGGGGATCAAGGCGGATTGTGCGGCGGGAATGGCAGTGGCGACGGGAGTAGCATTGGCTGTAAGCGGAGTCGCGGAGGCAAATGGCGACGTCGGCAATGTCGAGGCCTCCAATGCCGCTTCATCGTTACTGCTAGCAGCACGGACGACGGCAGGCCCGCGCTCGCGGACCCGCCTTTTTGGGCGGACTTGCCGTTGACTCCGAGACGTTGACTGAGGCAGGCGTTGACTTGTTGACCAGTTTGATGAAGAGAGCGGTGGAATCAAGCCACATCCTGGATGGGCTCTGGAAACAGCGACACGTGGCGAATTTCCACGAGTCGCCTGAATGCGTGGAGGCTTGGACGAAATCGCTAGGGTTGGAGAGGAAAGGCCCGTCGCTCCAAGGACAACCGTCGCTGACGCCATTCGCGCGACCAGCTAAGGCTCGTTACGCGGCTAAATGAACGGAGAAGCCACGAAGGCCACCTCGCTGAGAAGGTATCTCGCCGCGCGGAATAATGTGGATTTTCCAGCGAATAGATTGTGCGTGGCCGTGGTATTGGAGGTAACGAAATCCGTGGCGTAACCTAGTATGACTCGGTTCGTGAGCGGAGTTCACGGATTTACCAAGTGACTGTCTGACAAACTCTGACGATGAATCTGTGCCGGCGGTGTTGCGTGTGGACGGAGATATCCTGTTGTTTTCGGGTCATCCAGAATCGCAAGCTACACGACCTTATTGGTTTATAAGACATTTACATGGTCCAATCTAACTCTTTGAAGGGATCTTACCTTCATGGAGAATGAGACAATCGACTTGAGTATTTTACACTTCACTGAAACATGTCGATTTAATTCAATATTTTTTAGAACGGTGTCGTTGTGGTCACTGGTCATGTTGATAATAGTTTGGGAAAGGTTTGGTATTTGGAGATGCTTTATGTATGTGTCTATGTCTTATGGTATACCTTGGCGCGTACATCCATCTCCTTTGTCTCGTGCAACCATATGGTGGATGATTGGGTATGCTGCCACGTCATGAATGGTGTCTGAGTGCGTGGACTAGATGCTTCTGTCGTGTGCATGTCATGTCTGAGTTTTCCATTGGTTCTCTCGTGGCAATAAAATCTTCAATTTGAAGGGCCAAGATTACTTTGGGAAACGGCTTATTGATGCTTCAGCCAATAGTTATTTCACACATAGACTACCCGGGTAGTCACTACACACAAATTTGACGTGTCAAGCGTGACCCATCAGAGCACATGCTAGGCCCATCAAGCCTAGTTCATTCAAACAGTGATATGGTTCGGGGTTTCCAAAAACCTGTGGGCGAAATCGCGCTGGGGCGCCTGCACCTCCAGCCGCACCTGCCCCACCTGCGAGCGCCCGAACCGAAGGCGCCAATATATTTTTCCAGATGCGCTCACCTCGCGCCAAGGTTGGGATTTCCGCCGAGCCCCGCACTCAAGTTGCGCCCCTGGGCAATTGGAAATTACGTCCACCAATCGGGTCGTTCCTTGCCTCACAAGACTCCCACCCACACCAAGTGCCTCACACTCAGGGCGTGATTTCTAACAAGCAAGACGTTGAACAAAGTGACACGATGTCACAAGAAAATCAACCGGGCAGAATGTGTCTTGGTGTTCCAACAATGTGACAGCGGTGTCTTCTGGAGCAGAATGACCGTGGGCTCTTGAAACCACCTGCGGTTGACTTCTCGAATACTGTCTTCGCACAACGCTACTTCCTTGAAGCTTTCAATGGCGCCTCCTTCCCTCTCATCCGCCCCTTCGTCTCATCACCTCTTGTTCTGCTGTTCGCATTCCACACGCTTCCCGTCAAAGTGAACCTCAATTGACAAGGCACGTCACGCCTCACTTCACGTCCATTGCGAGTTGAACTCGAAGCACTTTCTCGGCTTCCGTATTTCCGCTGCACTGCACGCACACGTATGCATAGCTCTCCGTAGGCCTACCGCCACGCATCCGAATTTGACACTTGCAGGTCTCACAGTTCGTTATCCGAATTGAAACGTCGCGTCGCGAAAGCTCTCTTGCGTCCGTTTTACCCAAGCCTTCATCCAGCAACAGGTTCGCGTCACCAGCGGCTGGTCCAAGACAACAGTATGTGTTTCTAGTCGACTCAAAACACACATTCGTTCGTATTACTTACCTTCGACTTATTGAATCTCACGCCGCGACTTCACTGGGAAACATCGCTACTCACCTTCTAGGCACCACTAGTTTCGAGGCGCCTTATAACGGGTCGCACCGACAACGCCATCGTCCGACCTGTCAGCGTGCGCGCTAGTAGCAGGGGACGTTCCGATATCTACTAATCGACGCTTCAGGCAATAACCACTGCCGGTGATTGACGGGCGGAGCTGAACCCGAAAGGCCTTGACAGCGTGTTACGCTAAATACGCTCAGTTCACACACGGTGGTACTGTTGGTGACACTGGCATTACTCCGTAGCGGTTCAGACGCTCGCCTGCTTAACGCGAGCTTGTATGCTTTCTGCCAGGCTTTCCTCTATGCCTTGTACCTCGTAGCTTCTACCAGCACGCGAATGCGCGAGGAGACCCCGACGCAACGCGATATTACTATCTTAGGAACCGTTTTCGCTAGTGTACACATAAAATGAATAGATAGAGTCCAAGGAGCTGCGCGGAATCTTTTCTTGTGTCCCCTACAGAGGAGCAGCAGAGCCTGGGACAGGACTGCAAGCAGCAGCAGCAGCGGCGGCGGCGGCGGCGGCGGCGGCGGCGGCAGCAGCAGCAGCGGCAGCAGCGGCAGCGGCAGCAGGAGCGGCGACGCGGCGAGATGTGCGTGGTGGTGCCGATATGCGGGTTCGGGGAGTATCCGCAACGAGACTCGTTCAAGGAGTCGCTCAAGGCGCTTGAAGCGGATATACAGCACGCAAACACGTTAATGTGAGTGTTATTGAGGATGCTTATAGCGCGTATACGGTGTGGTGGTGCCGATATGCGGGTTCGGGGAGTATCCGCAACGAGACACGTTCAAGGAGTCGCTTAAGGCACTTGAAGCGGATATACAGCACGCAAACACGTTAATGTGAGTGTTATTGAGGATGCTTATAATGTTGATGCCGATATGCGGGTCCGGGGAGTATCCGCACCTAGGCACCTGAAAGGAGCCTCTCAAATACTCTTAAGTATGTTGTGGTGCTACATGGTGTTACATGATGCAACATGATGCGAGATTACGATGGGGGGTTTCTGCAGATGCGCCTGGGCTTCAGCCCACTGGCGCCGCTTGTCCTTTTCCTTCATCCCCACCATACACAATTCCTACTCCCTTCCCCCCCACAGGGCGGGCGATATGATGAGGGACTATGACGGGGCGTATCTGCAGATGCGCCTGGGCTTCAGCCCACTGGCGCCGCTTGTCCTTTTCCTCGTGCGCTGGACGGATTGCAGCCTGGCGGGGGCGCTGGGGCTGCTGAGAGTGCTGGTGTTCAAGGTGCATAAGAGCGGGCGCACCACTGCTGCGAGACACGAAAGGAAGGCGTCTCTTAACGAGTTTTATGGTACGTGGAGTGCCTCTAATGCCTATATCGAGGATATGGTGTGGCTGAGAGTGCGTTGGACGGATTGCAATCTAGCAGGAGCGCTGGGGCTGCTGAGAGTGCTGGTGTTCAAGGTGCATAAGAGCGGGCGTACTACCGCTGCTAGACACGAGCGGAAGGCGTCTCTTAACGAGTTTTATGGTACGTGAAGTAGGTAGGTAGCTTGTAACGAGGATAACGGCCTGCTAAGAGTGGGTTGGGCGGATTGCAGTCTGGCGGGAGCGCTGGGGCTGCTGAGAGTGCTGGTGTTTAAAGTGCATAAGAGCGGCCGCACCACTGCTGCGAGACACGAGCGGAAGGCGTCTCTTAACGAGTTCTACGGTGAGTGCAGCTTATAACGAGGATATAGCGCTGAGGCTGGCTGAGAGTGCTGGTGTTTAAAGTGCATAAGAGCGGGCGCACCACTGCTGCTCAGAATGAGAGAAAGGCATCTCTTAACGAGTTTTACGGTGAGTTTGTAGCGAGGATGAAGGGTTGTTGAGAGTACTGGTGTGTAAGAGCGGACGCACCACTGCTGCCAGACACGAACGAACGGCTTCTCTTAACGAGTTGCTTCTCTTAACGAGTTGTACCTTGTCGTATCGGACATGGAACAAGCAAAGCAACATGCTTATCCTCGTTATCATCCCCTCCACCACTATCCCTACTGCAGGGTTCCCGTACCCCTCATTGCTACAGCTGTATCCCAGCATATCGGAAGTGGAGCAAGCAAAGCATGCTTTCTCATCCTCGTTGTTATCCTCCCCACCATCACCCCTACTGCAGGTTTTCTGTACCCTTCACTGCTACAGCTGTATCCCGGCATATCGGAAGTGGAGCAAGCAAAGCATGCTTTCTTATCCTCGTTATTATCCTCCCCACCATCACCCTTACTGCAGGGTTCCTGTACCCTTCACTGCTACAGCTGTATCCCGGCATATCGGAAGTGGAGCAAGCGAAGCAACAGAGGCGATGCGATGAGCATTACTTGTGGCCCAGAATGGACGCAGCAGGTACGCATGCGCATATTGGATTCAGGTGTGAGTTTATGGTGGTGGGGGTTTCTGTGTGTAAGTTGGTCATCGCTGGAGGTGGTGGTGTGATTAGCATTACTTGTGGCCAAGAATGGACGCAGCTGGTATGCGGGCATGCGCAATAGATGTTTCTTGTTGCTATGGAATTGAGGGTGAAGTGGTGAGGCTATTTGTACAAGCGAAGCAGCAGAGGCGGTGCGATGAGCATTACTTGTGGCCAAGAATGGACGCAGCTGGTATGCGGGCACGGGCACTGGATCTTTCTTGGCGCTATGGGATGGGAGAGAATCAGACTGTTAAGGTTTTAGGTACAAGTCAAGTGAGGGTGCTTTAGAGAACTCTCAAACACACTCAGGCAACGATTTTGTTGTGATTGTCTTCATGAAAGCGAGGACGGGGGTATCGGCTTTTTAGGCGCCTCAAAAGGCGAGAATGGGGATATCAGTTCAGCTAAGTGAGAGGTTTTCCAAAGGACAGCTCAAGAGTAATGTATTTGTTGACTCTTTTTCTCCTTGCAGGGCAATCAAGACCACCTTCCTCCGCCTCTGCCTCCCCCATCTCCTCCTCCTCCTCCTCCTCTGGGTCCTCGCGTTTCTGCCTCTTGTGGCTGAGAATGGGCACTGCAGGTGGGCGGACACGTAAGGATCAGTTTAATGATTTTTCCGTTTACTTTCCCCTCCTTGCAGGGCAATCAAGACCACCCCCCTCCGCCTCTGCATCCCCCATCTCCTCCTCCTCCTCTTGGCCCTCCCCTGCCTCCTCATCCTCCTCCTCCTGCTCGTCTTATAACGAGGATGAAGAGATAGAGCTGCTGACGGGGATGGAGAGGGAGAAGGAGAGGGCGAGGGAGAGGGAGAGGGAGCGCGAGTGCGGGATCTGCCTTGAGGAGGTTCGATCCGACGGCTGTGATCGCGTCGCTATTCCCAGCTGCGCTCACTCCATGTGCTCCCGATGCTTCAAGGACTGGTGAGTCTCGTCATCCCCCTTCTCCTCCTCCTCCTTCTGCTCCTCCTACTCCTCCTATCCTGATGTACTCGTGAACCCTTTTCAGCTGCATTCCATCCTATCCTACCTTACTCCTCCCCTCCCCACCCCTCCCCACCCCTTCCAACCTTACATACAACCGAATGCTTCTCCAGGAGCTCTCGCTCGCGCTCCTGCCCGTTCTGTCGAGATGACTTGGGGAAAGTGCAAGAGAGCGACCTGTGGGTGATGGTGGGGGGGGAGGAGGCAGAGGACATGAGAAAAATCACTTACGTCTTACAACCCTTTCCCACCGCACTCAATCCCATCCCACCACATTCTTCCCCCAGGAGTTCTCGCTCGCGCTCCTGCCCATTCTGTCGGGATGACTTGGGGAAAGTGCAAGAGAGCGACCTGTGGATGATGGTGGGGGCAGAGGAAGCAGAGGACATACAAAACATCACTCATCTGTTACAATCCCTTTTTACCCCACTCAACCTCATCCCACCCCTTATTACCAGGAGTTCTCGCTCTCGCTCCTGCCCGTTTTGCCGGGACGACTTGGGAAAAGTGCAAGAGAGCGACCTGTGGGTGATGGTGGGGGCAGAGGAGGCGGAGGATATGAGAAAGATTACTCGCGACAACCTTCGACGAATCTTCCTCTTCGTGCACCGGTTACCAGTTGTGGTTACCAGCGATGCGCTGCTGCCTCCCCTTGAACTCGACTACTACTCCTTGCTGTAACGACCCTGTAATGACCCCGTTCTGTGTAAATAGGGCCTTGCTATCGGAGTCTTTTTATGTTTTACCGTAACAGAAGGAAACTAGGGGCTGCTGCTGCCACCGCTGTTGCTGCTGCTGCAGCCGCTGCTGCCACTGTCACTGCTGCCGCTGCTACTGCCGCTGCCACCACTGCTGCTGCCGCTTCTGCCGCTGGCGCTGCTGTTGCGTAGGGTTTGGGGAACAGCAGGAGGGTGTTGTGGCAGGCAGGTGTTCGGACAACAGGTTTGTCAAGCTCAGCTTTGATGGCAGTCGAGGCAATCGCTTCTTGGTAGTTCCATCGGGAATCGGGATGCATCGGGAAAGAATTTTCCGTGCTACATGGGGCTTATAGCCCGGTCTTGTACAGTATCTCTATCTCTCCGTGCTTGTGGTGGCCAGCTTCAAGCACTAGTCTACTCGCTGGTAGCTGCAGGGGCAATGGTACCGGTAGGTGGTAGGTTATGGTGACTGGAGTTCTGCTGGGGCAATACTGTGTGTGGACGAAGTGGTGTTTCTAGGTGGCAGGGAAGCATGTGCTGCCCTATTAGCAGCTCAATCTTCTGGGTCCTGGATGTGGGGTTATGAATTTGGGGTAATTGCCCCATTTTATTTGTACAGTTAGTTGAATGACTTCGTTTCTTGTTGCTTTCATCTGGCATGTACAAACTCCCACCCGCGTTTTCCATGTTGACCTACTGGTACTGTTACCGGTATTTTACTTCAATATTGGCGCAATATACTGGTACAACCATCAGGCGTACCAACACCATGCCACAGGTGTCCAGACGAGATGACTGTTAAGCTCAACAGGCTGCTTTGACCACCACTATCGGTACCATCCCCTAAGTTGACTTTTGAGTCGATCAAAAGCCACCTCCAACACCATGTCACAGGTTCCTAAGAACCCCCAATCATGAACTCCGGCTGCTTTGACCATCACTATCGGTACCATTCCCTGGCGCAACATAGTACAACCATCAGGCGTACTAACACCACGACACAGGTGTCCAGAGATGGCCTTTGAGTTGACTCACAAGTCAACCCCAATCACGAGCTCTATATGTTGCTTTGACCACCACTATCGGTATCATCCCTAATGCACCGCCAGTGCCGTCAGCAGCAGCGTCGCTACCAGCGCCACCAGCAGCATCATAACGTCTCATCGCTGTTACGACCTTTGACTACCATCAGGTGTGAAAACGCGTCAGAGATGTCCAGAGAACCCCCGATCATGGGCTCTTTGGGTGCTCATATAACCACCACTACCATCCCCTACAGCACCAGCACCAGCATCGTCACACCTTACCCACGCCCTTGGAACACCACCAAGTGTAACAACACCTCACAGGTGTCTGGAGAACCCGCGGTCATGGGCTCTCTGAGCGCTAGTATAACCACCACTACCATCCCCTAAAGACCCACTTGCACCACCAGCACCAGCACCAGCACCAGCAGCACCAGCAGCACCACCAGCACCAGAACCACCACCAGCACCACCACCAACACCACGTGAGAAGATATTTTTCAGGAGTTGTCGGCCGCGTCGATGTGGCGTGGTGGATCTCCTATCACTGCCCTCCACGTCATCACCACCCAAGGCTCCTCCCGTGTGCAAAGAGGAGGCGACAAGGGGGAAGTGGGCCTTGGGTGTGGTGGGCTCCTGTGGGAATGGGGTGAGAGGGAAGGACGTCCATAAACATTAGGATGTGGCGTGTTTGTAAGGGTTCCAGAATGGTTCTCAGGGGTTGTGGACTGCTATAATTAGAACCTGATGTCCCTCTTGAGGGTGGGGAGGCAACGAGGGGAAAGTGTGCCTGGCTGTAGTGAGGTGACGTCATAAAAGTAGATTTTTTAGACGTCTCAAAAACCTACTTTTATCGCTTAGCTGTGGTGAGATCCTGTGGGCGTGGAGTGGGAGGAGAGAGGAAAAAAATCACGTGAGTCTGAGGTGTTGTGAACAGGTTCTGACGAGTTGTGGCTCTGAAGTGGTGTGGAGTCCTAGGCTTCGCTTCAATGATAGGACGTATTTTTGCCTCGGAATATTATTAGTTTATAGTGCGTAACACTTAACGTTTGCGTTTTCTGCAATGGAAATACCTTGCTTTGCCGAGAGTGGGAGCCTTGGTATCTTATGTGTTGCGAGAGCGAGTGCGAGAGTGAGTTCATGCAGCTGTGAGATTACCTAAGGGCACGAGTTATGAAATGACCATACCTTGCTATGCCGAGCGTGCGAGCTTCGATGGCCCATGTGTTGGGAGAGCGAATGGGAGAGGGAGTGCATGAGTGCATGCAGCTGTGGGATTACCAAAGGGCGCGAGTTATGAAATGACAGTACCTTGCTATGCCGAGCGTGCGAGCTTCGATGCCCCATGTGTTGGGAGAGCGAGTGGGAGAGCGAGTGCATGAGACTGTGAGACTGTGAAAGGTTGTGCGAGCGAGAGAGGTTGGAGAAATGGGGGAGGTTGTGAGAGTGTGAGAGGTTCGGTGAGTGTGAGAGGTTGTGTGAGTGCGACTGTTTTCGCGACAGTATCTTGTCAGCAGAGTGTGGTGTTGTAGACGATGGGTTGGAGAGGGTTGATGAAGAGAAGGGGATTGCGGAGGAGGAGGAAGGGAAGGAGGAGGAGGGGAAGGAGGAGGACGGGAAGGAGGAGGAGGAGGAAATGGAGGAGGAGGAGGGTGGTAGACCGGCTAAGCAGTCGAGAGATGCGCGGACAGATGGCACACCTGAAGCACAGAGAAAGTGAAGGTAGGACACGGAACAGAAAGGCAACAACATGAAGAACAAATGAGTACTCTGGGAGGAGGAGGAGGGTGGTGGACCGGCTAAGCAGTCGAGAGTTGCACGGACAGATGGCACACCTGAAACACAAAGATGGGAACGATAGAAGAAGGAAACAACAGCATGAAGTGAGGAGGAGGGTGGTGGACAAATGAGTACTCTGGGAGGAGGAGGAGGGTGGTGGACCGGATAAGAAGTCGAGAGTTGCACGGACAGATGGCACACCTGAAACACAAAGATGGGAAAGATACAAGAAACAACGGAACGCAGAACAAATGAGTACCCTGGGAGAAGGAACAAGGGAAGGAGGGATAACATGATACCTGGTTAAGGTGAATACTCAACCCTTGGTACCAAGGGCTTCTGGGACTTCTGGTGGGTAAACTCACCAGCCATGGCCTCCCTAAACAACCCTGGCCGAGGGAGGAAGAAGCAAGAGTGGCGAGAAACTAGGGGGCACTCACCAGCTGTGGCAGAGCGGGCTACTTTCGAGTCGACTCAAAAGTGACTTCTGGTGGGTTAACTCACCAGCCGTGGCCTTCCTAAACAGTCCTGGCCGAGGGAGGAAGAAGCAAGAGTGGCGAGAAACTAGTGGGCACTCACCAGCCGTGGCAGAGTTAGGAACAAGAGAGGAGGAAGATTTTGAGAATTCTCAAAAACAGCCTGCGTTGCAAGAGTGTCAAAGAAACTAATGGGCACCCACCAGCCGTGGCAGAGCGGGGGACTCTTGACTCGACTCAAAAGTGTCCTCTGGTGGGTTGATTAACCAGCCGTGGCCTTGCTAAACAACCCTGGCTGAGGACGAAGCAAGAGCGTCAAAGAAACAAATGGGCACTCACCAGCCGTGGCAGAGCGGGGGACAAGAGAGGAGGAAGCGAGGCTGTCAAGCAGACTGCATGCAACAGTGGGGAGGAAAAAACGGGTGAAGGGGGAAGAGGGAGGCGGAGAAGAGGCGTTTGGAGACTGCATACACTCTCATGACTCATGAAACACGCTTCTCTTACAGCAGGAAAGGGCGCGGACAGCAGCCAAGCAGATGAAAGGCAGAGACAAGGAGACGAGAGGGCTGCAGAGATTGTTTAGGCGCCCCAGAAAGTATGCAACAGGCATGCAGACGAGGGGAAGGGACGAGGAAAGGGCTGCAAGGAAACACGGGCACAAGGATGGGGAGACTACAAGCACAGGCACGAGCAGGCACAGGCACAGGCACAGGCACAGGCACAGGCACAGGCACAGGCACAGGCACAGGCACAGGCACAAGGATGGGGGAGACGTGCATACAAGAGAATACATTTGTGCTTTGGTCCAGGTACACACCTTTCAGATGGGGGAGCGAGGGGCATTGAGGAGAGGAGTGACGAGGAGGAGAAAGCTGTGTGGGAAGAGCCTCGAGGATCTGAATTGTGTGGAAAAAGGAGGGATGGGAGGGAAAGAGGGGTGTCGGGGGATGGAGTGAGTGCATAGGTTGGGATGTATGGAGTGACGAGGAGGATAAGGCTGTGTGGGACGGGCCTCAAGGGTCTGACTTTGAACCGACTCAAAAGTCACCTCGTTACAATGGCACACGGCGTTTTTTGAGTCGACTCAAAAGTGAGTGCATAGGTTGGGATGTATGGAGTGACGAGTAGAATAAGGCTGTGCGGGACGAGCCTCAAGGGTCCGGAGTGGATGGGAGAGAGGGATGAGGGGGGATGGAAGGGTGAGAGAGAAGAGGAGGGACGGAAGGGTGAGAGAAAAGGAATCGTGGGAGGGAAGAAAGTGATGGGATTGGGTGAGTGGATGGGATGGACGGATGTATGGACTGAATGATACTTCATACTAACCTCTCGTAGGTGAAGAAGAATAGCCCGACCCTTACTGGAAGCACTCCCATTCCATGCATGCTGTTGCTGCAGCTGCTGTTGCCTATCGAGGCGCCTTAAAGTCTCACCTCTCGTAGGGGAAGAAGAATAGCCCGACCCATACTGGAAGCACTCCCGTTCCATACATGCTGCTGCTGCAGCCGCTGATGCTGGTGGCACTGATGCTGGTGGCGCTGCTGCTGCAAGTGCTGGTGTCAACGTTGCCGGTGCTGCCTCAGCTATGGGAGGGAGGGAACGCATTGGCGGGGGGAGGCGAAAGGCATTGGCAGGGAAGAAAGGAAAAGGGCAGGATAGTGAATATTTTAAATCGACGCATTACAGACAGGAGGGGAAGGAAACAGAGTGAGAGCTGTTGCTGCAACACACTGATTGGCTTGCCTGGCAGCAGGTAGCTCTTGGGCATGCGGCTGGTTGCCCTGGGCTGCTGCTGCTGAGTTCACACCTAACACACTTATGGCACCACGCTGACTAGGTCCCTCCGCACAGCAATTCATTCACCTGGCAGCAAAAAGTTCACCTGGCAGCAAAAAGTTCACCTGGCAGCAGGTAGCTCTTGGGCATGCGGCTGGTTGCCCTGGGCTGCTGCTGTCGGTTCAGTGCGTTGCGACCTGAGTACTCCCAGCACGCACGCACACGCTGCATGCAATGAGGGGAGAGCACAGCACAGAACAGGCACAGCAGCAAGGGACTTGGCAATATCACGAGAATGCGCTCATTGCGTTGCGACCCGAGTACTCCCAACAAGCCTGCACATGCTGAATGCAGCAAGGAGGGGGTGAGGGGAGTGCAGTGTGAAGCACACACATGGGGATGAGGGGAGTGCAGAAGTGCATTGCGAGGCTCCTTTCAGTGCATTGTGAACAGAGCACTCCCAGCACGCCCGCAAACACGGTGGCATAGAGGAGTGGGAGCATACACACACATAGACACACATACACGCACGCACGCACACACGCCCATACACAGAGACACACACATGCATCATGGAAACGAACAACGATGCAAGTTACAATTGAGAGAAACGAAGCCCACCCCCCCCCTTTCCCCCACCCGCCAGCACACAAACACACACGCAGCCACAAGCATACCTCAGCAGCTGACGCAACTCTGACGTCAGCAGCAGCCATCTCCTTGGCCTGCAGCGAGACTGCGTCCGTGAAGCGATCGGCAGCAGCGCCAATGCGATCCACCACGGATACCAGCATGCTCACAGCATAGTCCCTCACGTTGTGCAGCTCTCTGCGTCAAGGAGGGATGAACGGGGATGAGGTGGGGGAGAATTGGGCAGCGCAAGCAAGCAGCAGCGCCAATGCGATCCACCACGGACACTAGCATGCTCACTGCAAAATCCCGCACGTTGTGCAGCTCTCTGTATTAAGAGAATTACAGTAGAGGAGGAGAGACAGCAAGGCACAAGGGGGAAGAGATCAGCAGCAGTGCCAATGCGGTTCACCACCAGCATGTTCACCACCAGCATGTTCACCACCAGCATGTTCACCACCAGCATGTTCACCACCAGTATGTTCACCACCAGTATGTTCACCACCAGCATGTTCACCACCAGCATGTTCACCACCAGCATGTTCACCACCAGCATGTTCACCACCAGCATGTTCACCACCAGCATGTTCACCACCAGTATGTTCACCACCAGTATGTTCACCACCAGCATGTTCACCACCAGTATGTTCACCACCAGCATGTTCACCACCAGCATGTTCACCACCAGCATGTTCACCACCAGCATGTTCACCACCAGTATGTTCACCACCAGTGTGTTCACCACCAGTGGAAAAGGCTGGATGGCTAATGGCTGGATGGCTAGATGGATACATGGCTGAATGGCTGGGATGTCTGGCTGGGTACTTTGTCAAAACAGTACGGAGACAAGCTAAGAATACGAGCCAGAGTATTCCTATTTTTGCTTACATGTCCTTTTGGTCTGTGACAAGATAGGCCTCCTCTGCATACGTGGCAGCGTCCAATAGGGTGGGCTGTAAATCACGCAGCTCCTGCATTCACAGTCGAAGAATTAAGCAGAAGGTTAAGCATAAATATGCAACAATCCTCACTCCTTCATGCATAGAGCTTAAGCTCTGCAGAATTCCATGTCTAGGAACTTCCCTGTCTACACGTGCTCTGGCTCCTTGATAATTCATCTGAACGTTAATTGCCTCCAAGGTCATGACAGTGTAATTGTCAGGTAGTGAAATGTATGTGTCGCGTCCGCAAACTATCTAATGGTACTGTGGTTTGTATCGATCATGAATTCAGCTCACGAACCTGAATGCTTCGTTGCAACATCTTATCAAACGGATCCGTACTCGCTTTTGCCATTCCCGCTACACGAAATTATCGAGCCGTCGACCACGCAGTCGCAGAAAACCGTTCAGGGGACAAGCAATGACAATCTTGGGAACTGAGAAGCTTTCGACTGTAAGATAGAGCTGGTTCCGTTCGACAGCAGATTACATGAGACTGCGCAATTAATGGCTTTCACTACTTCAAATCGCACTACACCGCCAAAACAGACCCTTCTATCAAGCTTAGGATACGACTCAGGCAGCATCAGTCTCTACGTATCGCGCAAGGGACCAAGCAGCTAATATAGTCTATGTCGCCCCTCGTATCGTGCTGGTAAACTGGGTCCTCACTGCTCGGAAAAGGGAGCTGAGCTCGAGTCTGCCTCGGTGTCGAATCTGTGAACTTCGGTGGCAGCCACCCACTCAAGCTGTGCTTCGCCTGAACCAAACTTGCGAACTATGATTGAGAGAGGTGCAGTATGGTATCGTACGTTAAAAAGTCTTTCAGCACGGTTAATTACGGTTATTTCAATCAGATCGACTTGTTATCGCTACACCAGCACAAGTGCGCCGTCGTTAGGCGGAGCGTGTTCCCAGCAACACGTGCCTGCCGAGAAAAGGCTGACTGACACCCGCAGGCACAGCCTCGGTTTCTGGTTCGGGCTAGTCAGAAGCGGCATCTGAGGGAAACCGTGCCGTGCCAGGCAAAGGCTCAGGAGTGAGGCTCGGTATGGTTCTGGGGAATGTCGACGCCCAGACGAGGCGCTTCACCTGAAAATAGTATCGCTTGAAGGATGGTGCGATATACTGAGAAGACGAAAAACATCCGTATCGAAGTTGTAGTGAATGTGCACCCTACTGTAAGAAAGCATGATTCTACAAAGCCCATGGTAAACATGGAAGGAGTCTTTCTGAAAAGCAACAATCGCACGCTTATTTCTTAGAAATATATCCATTGTGAATCTATCACGCGTCAACCATAGACGGACAATCATTTGTTGAGAGTGGTGGAATACATGAGCTCTCCAAACACGCCAAAAAACTTCAGAGTCAGGGAGTTCCTAGAGACCTCCAGGGAACTGAAGCCCTGGCCAGGAAAGAAGAACTGCAGGCCTGGCGCGACAGGGGGAGCATCGCCTCTCCACGCCTTGGATCCCCCACCCACTGTGAAATAGTGAACGGGGCTGAATCACGGGAGACAACAGAAAGGAGATAAAAAGGTGAATGAAAGCAGGAGAAATTAGAGTTCTTGTCTTAGGAGGTCCCCGAAGATAATGACTACGGAAAGCAACAAAACTATGACGTTGCGAAAAGGGGCACACTACAAGTGAGTAAGCATGGGGGTTGACAGATGGAAGACGAAGGTCCAGATAAGTGATTTTAGCCCATGCTGCGAATGAACGGTCAGGATTGGTGTAGGACTCACCTCTCATCCTTTTTGATGTGCTGCATGTTGTGATCGTGACCATTGATGTAAACGTCCACACCGTACTTCTGATAGCGTCACAAAGAAAATGGAGCGTCACAGGGGGAGTTGGGGCGAAAATAATGATTGAGTGCTTGTTCCCTGACACACACGTGTGGCATGTGTGTGACCACAGAAGGAACACCATCAGAAGGAACACACTTGGTTAAACACTTCCGCTGCACAGGAGATGAAACTGAAAACGGGTCAAACTTGCCCATGCTCTCCAATCACGAGGCAACACAGATCAAATAGCAGCAATAGATGTTTTGGTACGGGACAGAAAGGCCACAAATTCGCAGAACAATAATGCCTATACATGGATAAACCGTTCAAGCCTGAGACTCACCTCCAGCAGCGGCTTGATCCTCTCAACCATCTCGGGCTGGTCGCCGTGCTTGCCATAGCTGAACACCGGGTGGTGCGCCCCCACCACTCCCAAGGTGCCAGACACACCTGACAAATCGACTTCTATGCACAGGGTGTAGTGTAGCAACCTAAACCCTAAGCCCTTACCTCCAGCAGCGGCTTGATCCTCTCAACCATCTCGGGCTGGTCCCCATGCTTGCCATAGCTGAACACTGGGTGGTGCGCCCCCACTACCTTCACTTCCTGAAGTGAAGGGCTTTACTCCCATACACAGAAAACCCTTTCAAGCATCAGCCTCACCTCCAGCAACGGCTTGATCCTCTCAACCATCTCAGGCTGGTCCCCATGCTTGCCATAGCTGAACACCGGGTGGTGCGCCCCCACCACCTTCCACCGCGCCTGCGAGTTACTCAACCAACCCTCCAGTTCCTGCCGTATGGCACAACAAGGGAGATGCATATGCTTGTGAGCATGTGTGCGCGATTGTGTGGCTGCATGTGCCGCGCCTGCGAATTGCTCAGCCAGCCCTCCAGCTCCTGCGACAAGGCACAACAAGGGAGATGCATATGCTTGTGTGAGCATGTGTGTGAGCATGTGTGTGTGTGTATGCGTGGCTGCACGTGTGAATGCCCGCCACGTTCGACTGCGCCTGCAAGTTTGCCATGAGCCACATTCTGAGAATTCTCAACAGCATGTTCTTGAGAATTCTGCATGTTGTCATCGGAGACGCATATTCTTCGTGGTGTAAACGTGCAGGGCTTTTGACAATTTTCAGAATATGGGGGAAGACGAAAACGCTTGGTGTAAGTTTGGAGGGCTATTCATGCATGCATGCGCGTGTGCAAGGCTGTGACTGTATGCATGCGTGTGTGTGGTGGTGGTGTGGGGGGGGGGGAGAAGAAGGGGAGGGAGGGTTCGCGTGTGTGTTTGTGGAAAATTTAGTACAAATCAGAGTCAGATCAAACAAGAGTCAGATCAAACAAGAGTCAGATCAAAAGCACCTGCAGCTGTGCCTCCTCCTGGCGGGTCCAGTCGCCCGTGTTGACGCCCCTCCAGTCCACCCACCGCCAGCACTCCTAGTGAAACAGGTCAACAAAGTCAACGCAGTCAACGCCTCACCTGCAGCTGCGCCTCCTCCTGGCGGGTCCAGTTGCCCATGTTGAGCCCCCGCCAGTCCACCCGCCGCCCCTCCTTGTGAAGCAGGTCAAGAAGGTCAACAAAGTCAACGCAGTCAACATAGTCAACGCCTCACCTGCAGCTGTGCCTCCTCCTGGCGGGTCCAGTTGCCCATGCTTAGGCCCCGCCAGTCCACCCACCGCCAGCCCGCCTTGTGTAACAGATTAACAAAGTCAACGCAGTCAACACAGTCAATGACTCACCTGCAGCTGTGCCTCCTCCTGGCGGGTCCAGTTGCCCGTGTTGAGGCCCCGCCAGTCCACCCGGCGCCCCTCCTTGTGGCGGTAGGCCGGGATCAGTGGCATCGAGTCGTACAGAAACAGGTCCACAAAGTCAACGCAGTCAACGCCCTGGCCTCCTCCAGAGTCAACGCGGTCAACGCCCTGGTCATCCATCTCAGCGCAGATGGGGAGCGAGACGGCCATGCTGCGGCGACAGGTCCATCGAGGGTCGCGATTGGCCAGCGCTGGGTGCAGTTGAGCTAACACGTTCCCATAGTAGTCATGGTTTCCTAGGACTTATGGTGAACAGGGCAGGGAGTGGGGGGAGAGGGGGAGAAGGGGACGGGAAGAAAGAGGGGTGGTCGTGATTGGCCAAGCTAATGTGCAAGCCGTGGTTCCCCAGGAATGGGGTGGAATGGAAATTACAGGGGGGGAAGAAATATCCGTGTGACTTTTGAGAATTCTCGAAAGAGGGGTGGTCGTGATTGGCCAAGCTAATGTGCAAGCCGTGGTTCCCCAGGAATGGCGTGGAATGGAAATTACAGGGGGGGAAGAAATATCCGTGTGACTTTTGAGAATTCTCGAAAGAGGGGTGGTCGTGATTGGCCAAGCTAATGTGCAAGCCGTGGTTCCCCAGGAATTGCGGTGAAATTTACAGGGGGGGAAGAAAGGGAAGGGAAGAGAGAGTGAAGGTCGCCATTGGTCACTGCTGCATACCAGATAAGAGCCTCACCTGCATACCAGATAAGAGCCTCACCTGCATACCAGATAAGAGCCTCACCTGCATACCAGATAAGAGCCTCACCTGCAAACCAGATAAGAGCCTCACCTGCATACCAGATAAGAGCCTCACCTGCATACCAGATAAGAGCCTCACCTGCATACCAGATAAGAGCCTCACCTGCATACCAGATAAGAGCCTCACCTGCATACCAGATAAGAGCCTCACCTGCATACCAGATAAGAGCCTCACCTGCATACCAGATAAGAGCCTCACCTGCATACCAGATAAGAGCCTCACCTGCATACCAGATAAGAGCCTCACCTGCATACCAGATAAGAGCCTCACCTGCATACCAGATAAGAGCCTCACCTGCATACCAGATAAGAGCCTCACCTGCATACCAGATAAGAGCCTCACCTGCATACCAGATAAGAGTCTCACCTGCATACCAGATAAGAGCCTCACCTGCATACCAGATAAGAGCCTCACCTGGGTATCAGGGAATCCGCAGGCAGCGGTGGGTGTATATATTCGTGGAAGGCTGTGAGACTTGGGGAGCATTGGGCGTCTGGGAGGCCAGCTACAGGGTTAATGCTCAAACTGAGCGACACATACAGGCTCACCAGCACATGCGGGCTCACCCACCCACAGATACTAAGCGGCTTACCTGCAGGGTATTTTTGAGAATTCTCAAAGGGAGGGTATTTTTGAGAATTCTCAAAAATACCCACCAGCACATGTAGGCTCACCCACCCACAGATGCTAAGCGGCTCACCTGCATACCAGGGGATCTGCAGGCTGCGGTGGGTGTAGATATTCGTGAAGGACTGGGTGAACTGAGGGGCATTGACGTCTGGGAGGCCAGCTACAGGCAATGCTCACGGTGAACGACGCATATGGTCTTACCAGCAGCTACAGGCTTATCAGTACATGCTGCCTTACCTGCATACCAGGGGATCTGCAGGCTGCGGTGGGTGTAGATATTCGTGAAGGACTGGGCGAAGTGGGGAGCATTGACGACTGGGAGGCCAGCTACAGGCACACACTCTCACAACCCAGCACATACAGCCTTACCAGAAGATACTGGGCGTTTGGGCTTACCTACAGGTACGGGGCTTACCTGCATACCAGGGGATTTGCAGGCTGCGGTGGGTGTAGATATTCGTGAAGGACTGGGCGAATTGAGGGGCATTGACGTCTGGCAGGCCGAGCTCGAGGAAATTGTCTCCCAGGGATACCACGAACTGGGGGTGCATGCGGGCTCCGATCAGGCCCATCTGATAGGGACGGAACGATGGGGAGAGAGGGAGATGGGGAGATGAGGCGAGAGCGTTGTAAGGGAATGTGGGTGGAAATTGATGTCTGGAGGGCCGAGCGCGAGAAAGTTGTTCCCCAGAGAGGCCACGAACTGGGGGTGCATGTGGACGCTGACCAGACCCATCTACTTGACACGAAGGTGACTTAGGAAAGCCAAGCTCGAGAAAGTTTGTCTCGAGAGAGGCCACGAACTGGGGGTGCATGTGGGCGCTGACCAGTCGGATGGGGGAGAAAGACGGGGGTGGGGGGTTGGGGAATGGGAGAAAAAGAATATGGGGAGAACTGGCATGCGTTCACTCTCTTGCTACATGCATCCTTTGCTGCAATACCTGCGTGGCGATTAACGACTGGTTGAACGTGCCGTTTCTCCCCCAGTCGCCAAACGCAAAGAAGCGAACAGGTGCGATGCTGCTGCTGTTCCTGTGCTCGCTGCTGCTGCTGCTGCTATCTGGTGGGAGGGAATGCATGGCTGCTGGTATTTGCATTCGTGGCGGCTGCATCTGCATGTGTGGCTGCATGGCTGCTGGTATCTGCATGCGTGGCGGTAGCAGCGCGATCGGTTGCATGGGTGGGCGGTCGTGATTGCGAGGGTGGAACAGGGTGGAGCGGGGCAGCAGCAGCGTGGCGAGAAAGCAGGCGCAGAGGGAGACGACGAGGAGCACGGGCACCTTCCGAGCAGCGCGAGTTGGGGACTGTAATCGAAGAGAGAGAGGGGGGAGAGGGTGGAGAGGGGTGAGGGAGGAAGGGGGGGGAAGAGGGAGAGAAGGTAAAGGGAAGGGAGTGAGCAGGTGGGAGCAGCGGGATCGGCTGCTTGGGTAGGCGGTCGTGACTGCGAGGGTGGAACAGGGTGGAGCGGGGCAGCAGCAGCATGGCGAGAAAACAGGCGCAGAGGGCGACGAGGAGCAGCACGGGCACCTTCCGAGCAGCGCGAGTTGGGGACTGTAATCGAAGAGAGAGAGGGGGGAGGGTGGAGAGGGGTGACGGAGGGAGGGACGGGAAGAGGGAGAGAAGGTTAAAGGAAGGGAGTGAGCAGGTGGGAGCAGCGCGACCGGCTGCATGGGTGGCCGGTCGTGACTGCGAGGGTGGAACAGGCTGGAGTGGGGCAGCAGCAGCGTGGCGAGCAGGCGGGCGCAGAGGGAGACGAGGAGGAGCAAAGGCACCTTCCGAGCAGCGCGAGGGGGGGCTGCGATGGAGGGGGAGGGGGAAAGGACAAGAGCTTGTTTGGAAAGAAGTAATCTGCTGCAAAAAAGAAAGAAGAGCTGCTATATAAGGTTTCCAACAAGAACGAAGGTAAAGTTAAACTTCTGCAAAGAAGAGTACATGCAATCCAAGCATAAAAGAAACCATTGAACGGCATACACAGTTGAGAGGCTCGAGAGTTATTATTCAAAGAATGAAACACACAACGGAAAAGACGGTTGACACGTAAGCGCAACGGCCAAGACATCGCTCTCGGATATACATTGGCAGAAGAACGGGAAATGCGGGACATCATGTACGCATTCCCTTTTTCGGACCCGTCTCCCTCCTCCTCCTTTCCCCTAACCTTCCCCTCGTCTAGCTCCACAACTATCATGACAATGAACGACATTCCACTGTTATGCCATAATGCGCATCATGCGATGATCGCATTACCTCGCGACGCGTCAGCAGTGGGTCCGTCAGTGACGATGCTTCTGGAAGCGATGCCAGCGAGACTGCCACGTGGCGGTCTTCCAGCTCGCGTGACTCGTCACTGGGTGCATTCATTGCCATGACTCACGATAAGACAGGCACGCGATAAGTTACTATATTGAGGTAATCTCGATAAGTTACTGTGCTGAGATGTTTAACCCTTTCAGCAACATTCAGCTTCTACAGAACGCACCCACGGGTGCCGTGAAAATTAGGCAATGTGGGGTACTTTTCGCTTGCTGGGACACAAGCACAACTACTATGGGCGTTACGTAGCGTGTGCGAATGAGGGAGATTAGAACGGCATCGAGGCAAGGCCACGAACGACGGATGTTGCCTGGCTAATGTAGGACTTGGTTGCTGCACTTTTGCCTGACGCACCCTAGGGATTGCTGCTGGCTGCTGTTTTCTTGAGGCATATTCTTGAGGGAAGCCTGCTGCTGCTACGGTGGAATTTCCAAGATACAGTACACGTACCTTTCCTTGGGAAATTCACAGCGCCGAGAGCACTCGAGAGCGCGTTCGTTCTTCTGGTGGAGTGCAGAGTCAGATGCGCCTTGGGGGAAAATGATTGTCAAATCAAACTGCGGAATGACGGACAGAACAGCAGCTTCCGTCTGACACGCACTTCAGAATGAAACTCGTGTTTCGGTCAGTTCAGAAATGCGCCCTCGAGATGCGAGATTCCCGCTGACGACGTGTTCCCCATACCACGGACTTCTACAATAAAGAGTACAGCGCGAAGTGGTTGAGCTTTGTTTCATACTATTTCAGCTGCATATCCTTATGAGCCAAATACCCAAGATGATAGGCCCTGACATGTCAATGTTTTTCTCAAGACTCGGAAGGTGTAAAGGATCCCTTGAATATTGATGTCCGGATTTTCACTCCTTCGGCTGTTGCCACAGATGCAGCATACCTGAAAGCAAATATTATGATGCGGTGACAGAAACTCAGTTGGAGAACCAAACACTGTGAAACATATGAGCATACAACGCTCGGGAATTCAGAATACACACGTAGAGCCAGGGCGGATATACGTACGCTTCGTCGAGGAGAATGCCGTGTGCTGCGACTCCCGGCACGGACTCTATCTGGCGAGCAACATCCCCTGCCGGGTCGATACAGGGAGATTCGTTAATGAGAATGGCAAAACATTTCTGAGTTGAAATTTGCGTCTAAGACGAAATAATTCCCTTCAGTCACCAGAGGGAACCCCTTCCCCAACGGCCCTGCTGTGCCACCCAAACAAGCTCCCAAACAACCTGACACATGCACTTAAAGCCTCCCCCTCAGTCACTCATGTCAAGGATGGGAGTCGTGAAAAATGATGTCCAACACAAAGTGCCCGCCGTCAATGACACGAGGAAACTCCCCTCCTACCGGCCCGCTTAAGCAGTCAGACCCCCATACAAGCACATGTCTTCCAATCACTCACTCATGTCAGCGATGGGAGTCGTAAAAATGACGACTAACACAAAGTGACACTCCTCGGTGACCAAAGGGAACTCTCCTCTCACCCACCCCCCCTCCCTCCCCCAACAGCCCGCTTAAGCAGTCAAACCCCTGTATAAGCACACGCCCCTCAGTCACTCAACTCACTCATATCAGTGATAGGAGTCGTGAAAATGACGTCCAGCACAAAGTGTCCGTTCTCAGTGACCAAAGGGAACTCCCCTCCCAACGGCCCTGCTGTGCCGCTGGCAGGCCTCCATACATTTTGACACATACACACAATGCCTTCTGCCCAATCACTCACTCATATCAGCGATGGGAGTCGTGAAAATGACGTCCAGCACAAAGTGCCCGTTCTCAGTGATTATAGGGAACTCCCCTCCCAACGGCCCGCGTAAAGTCAGACCCCCATATATGCACACAGGCGAAAAGCATACAGTCACATGTCTTGCAGACATTCACTCACTCATATCAGCGATGGGAGTCGTGAAGATCACGTCCAGCACAAAGTGTCCGTTCTCTGTGACCAAAGGAAACTCCCCTCCCAACGGTCCTGCTGTGCCACTGGTGGGCCGCCGCCACACCTCTGCATCTCCCAGGAACAGGTCGTCAATCTCCTCTGCAATGTCCAACCAGTGCTCCTGGTGTGCGGGAATGTGGAGAGGGAGGTTGGGGGGGTTGGGGGTTGAACAGTCTGTGCCACTGGTGGGCCGCCGCCACACCTCTGCATCCCCCAGAAATAAATTGTCAATCTCCTCTGCAATGTCCAACCAGTGCTCCTGGTGGGAAAGAGTTTGTGTGCAGAGACGGTGGGGTTGGTCGGGGAAAGGGAGCCCGGGAGAGGAATGGGTGTGCCGCTGGTGGGCCTACGCCACACCTCTGCATCCCTGAGAAACAAACCGTCGATCTCCTCTGCTATGTCCAGCCAGAGCTCCTGGTGAGAGGGAATGCGGAAAGGGAGGGTGGGTGGGGGGGCTAAAGAGCGTGTGCCGCTGGTAGGCCTCCGCCACACCACACCTCTGCATCTCCCAGGAACAGGTCGTCAATCTCCTCTGCAATGTCCAACCAGTGCGCCTGGTGGAAGAGATCATGTGTGCGGGAAGAGAATGGGTGTAGCCATATTTCATTCGTTGTACCAGCCAGTTCTCCCGGTGGGATAGAGAATGTGTGCGGGGGAAACCCATGTCCTTGCCTTTACACTCATATTTCCTGCCCCTCACCTGCTCGATTTCAACGGGCACTTCCCCATCAATAAGACCCTCCTCAAAGTGCTTCTCGGGCACAATCACAGTGAAAGTTTCAGCTGCCCGTGCCACGGCCTACTGCAGCAGAAATGGCAGGGGACATGGAAGAGCAAAAGCAATGCATAGACGAAACAAATAAGGTAGAAGTCGAAACCAGGCAAGATGTAACTGGAATCAGAAGGCAGATGGACAGAGGAAAAATAAAAAGGACAGCAGAAAGCATAAGAAGAACTTTGGAGACAATTGAACAGCAGATGTGTGTGTGTGAAGTCTCAAAGCTCACACACCTTCTCTTTCAGAACTGAGCCTCGTTTGGTCGGGATGCGACGGCCAATGATAGAAAAGAGCGTTCCCTCCTGCACCACGTCTGCATCTGTGAAGGCGAAATCCAGCTGAGGAAAGGAAGGGGTAGTCAAAGGGAGTTGGGAGGCAAAGGAGGGATGAGAGAAGGGAGACGGGAGAGTGTGGATTATAGAAAAGAGCGTTCCCTCCTGCACCACGTCTGCATCCGTGAAGGCGAAATCCAGCTGAGGAGGGAGCGGGGTAGGGGATGGACCAGATGGGGGAGGGAGATGGGAGGGTGTATATGGATATGACAGGAGAGAAAATGACGGGTGTAGATGCTGCTTGAGCTGCTGCTTGAAGAGAGAATGATGACTCAAGGTGTTTGTGAGAAACATTCTGGGGTGAGGGACGTTTGCACATGAGGGGGCCTTTTGATGTGAGGGACCTTGGGATACCTTGGGATGTGGTAAAAAATACAAATAATAATAATAATAATAATAATAACAATAATAATAATAATAATAATAATAATAATAATAATAATAATAATAATAATAATAATAATAATAATAATAATAATAATTCCGAGGCAGGAATACCTTGGGATGCTCCTCGAGCGTTGACATGACTACTCCTGCTTGAGCGAGCTCCGCTGCTGCGGCAGCCGTGCTGCCATGCATGCATCGCACAAGCGTTATCACAAACATTATCACATGGCATCATTGCAAGCATCATCACAGAATGTAGCTCTCAGAAATATTTATGCATTGAGAAACAGAGAGGAAAAAAAAAAAGAGAACAGAGAATGAGGCGCCTCAACGTGCCACACTTGGACTTACGTGGGAACGGCGATAATATCTCGCAGCGATCCACTCTGGATTTTGCTGATGAGGTGGGTGACAGCGAGAGAGGAGCCAAAGCCTGACCCCACCCCCACCACCATGCCACTACGGACAAAATCGTCCACCTGAACAACGAGAAGGGGATGAGGCAAAACGGCAAAAAAAAGAGAGGAAAGTTTGTGTAAATTTTCATGGAGATTCATTTGCTGTTATCCCGTGCAGCACGAATTTTTCCTTCAATACAAAAGGCAGAGGGAGTGGGAGGAGGAGATGAACGAATGCTGGTTGGCTGGAAAGGAGAGGGGAAGGGGGAGGGGTCAAGAAAGAGGAGGAAGAGGGTGAACGCGAAATGAGGGGAGAGGAGAAGGGAGGGAGAGGGGACGGTAACGGGAGGAGAGGGGGGAAAGAGGAGAGCACGGAGAATGCGCGGTGAGAGAATGTGATCGAAGCAGCGTGAAGGAACATCAAAAGGCGGGGGAAGTGAGAGAGAAGATGTGGCAATGATGGATAACTGGGTGAGAGGAACGGGACAAGGGTTGCGGGAGAGAAGAGAGGGGGTACTGGTGGGAGAAATGCCAGCCGCAGCAGCTCGAGAGGAAAACGGAATAACGTCTTTTAGGAATACGAAGGCTGCTACGAATATCAATCATGGTTGTAAACCGTATGGGTACGAAGAGCGGGTCGTACCAGATCGTGTCAACGTCTGTGGTTACAGTGTAACATTTGCATCGTGTCATGTCCTACCTACATTTGCATCTCCCATTGGATCCTAACGTTTCGCGGTCAATGGTGCCTCACCAGCTGCCGCGCCGCGTCTTCCAAACTCGACCCCGATCCCCGTCCCAGTGGCGACGCCATCGCGGTCACTCCAATCCTCCTGATTGGCCGACGGCTGCTGAAGTGGCTAAACGATCGCGCGAATGCGGGAACGCATGGTTGAAGGGGTGCGGGGTAAGGGGTAAACGAAGACGGAGCGAGGAAGGAGCGGTACGGCGATCCGGCTTTAACGTCGAGCCGCACGAAGGACAATGTTGCGGCCGACATGATGAATGTGGCTGCTGCCGATTCGGCCAGCAAACCGTAAGGCACACGTTGGACTAGCAGTTGTGGACTCCCTGCGGTAGGTATGTCACGCGCGCGCAGCTGGCTGATAAGTGGATAAAGTCGAGGTTTGGGTTGAACAGTCCAATAGTTTACATGGTACAGTTACACGTAGGATACACAAACCGTTAACCGCATTCATGGGTTGGAACTGATGAGAGGAGAAAACGAGCAACTTAGCAGGGATGCTGCACCTTCATATAAATATCATAGTTTTGCTTGAGCTTCCTTTTACCTTAGGATTTTCTCGCATTTTTAACACAACCACCTATGTTAGCTATGGGGCATCAAACACTCTGGCCAAAATTCTCTTGCCCGTATATTCGCCTCTACATCCATCGAGCTTGATGGAGAGGCAGTACTGTATAGGGAGACCAGGCGTAGTTGACCAACCTTATCAGCAGTATCTTAGTCAGCGTCAACCACGAACCGTTATTGTAGGAACGGCGGGAGCGAGAAGGGGTGACGTGGCAGCTGCAGATGCATCAGATTCCAATCCAGATGGTCTAGTTGATGCAGCAGCAACAGCAGCAGCAGCAACAACAGCAGCAGCAGCAAATCCCCTCCACTCTCAGCAAGCAGTATCGCCGTCACTGTCAACCAGATTTGTAAGCTGGGCTCTTTGTGTCAGGTAACGGCTTTGATAGCAGCTGGGAAATCACGCGGTAGAGGGGGAGAAACAGGGTACACAGCACAGCCCTGTAGGAGTGACAAGGGGATGGGGGTGCGGGAAGGGGGTTGAGGAAGAGTAGAGTAAGTTGGGCTCTTTGTGTCAGGTAATAGCCATGGTAGCAGCTGGCAGATCATGAGGTAGAGGGGGAGTAACAGGGTCCACAGCACAGCCCTGTAGGTGTGACATTAGGGAAGGAAGGTGGGGGAAAACAGGGCGATAAAGATGGGCAGGATAGAATTGAAGGCATAATCAAATGGGATACGGAAATCACACAGGGTTTTGGGTGAGGGAAGAAAAGGCGAGAAAGACGGGAAGGATACAATTGAAGGCATGTTCAAATGGGATACGGAAATCACGCAGGGCTTTGGGTGAGGGAAGAAAGGGCGAGAATACAATTGAAGGCATGTTCAAATGGGATACGCGAATCACACAGGGCTTTGGGTGGGGGAAGAAAGGGCGAGAAAGACGGGCAGGAAACTATTGAAGGCATGTTCAAACGGGATACGGAAATCACACAGGGCTTTGGGTTCAGCGAGCTGCACCATAGCTAAATTGTGTCGCAAGCTTCCTCCCCTTAGCCTTCTCACGCTGCTCCCGCGCCGAGTCAGGCAGGTATACGTCGCCGCGACGCTGCACCCATTCCTCTACAGGCACACATGCCTCCAGCGAGTCTCACCATAGCTAAATTGCGCAAGCTTCCACTCCTTGGCCTTCCCATGTTGCTCCCGCGCCGAGCTAGGTGGTTTTACATCGCTGCAATGCTGCACCCCTTGCTCCACAGGCCCGCGCGCCTCCAGCGAGTCTCACCATGGCTAAATTGCGTCGCAAGCTTCCTCTCCTTGGCCTTCTCATGCCGCTCCCGTGCCGAGTCAGGCAGGTAAACGTCGCTGCGAAGCTGCACCCATTGCTCCACAGGCACACGCGCCTCTGCGGCTCGAAAGAGCTCCATTAGACACGCGTTCACCTCGTCGATCCGCTCCCGCACCACCATGTGCGCCCCTGGGAGCGCGGTGAACCGCGCCACGGGTGCCAGTCGCCTGGCCGCCTTCTCACCCAGGGAGACGTGTGCTACTATGTCGTCGCTGCGGGGAGGAAGAGAGGGTTTAGAGAGTGGAATGGAGAATGGCCACGTGTTTGAAGAAGAGGAATGTCTCAAAACACTTCTTCAAACAAAATGCAGGGAGGAAGAGGGGGAGTAGAGAGTCGAATGGAGAATGAGAGTGAACCGGGCTACAGGTGCCAGGCACTTGGCCACGTGTTTGAAGAAGTGTTTTGAGACGTCTCAAAACACTTCTTCAAACACGAGAATGAGAGTGAACCGGGCTACAGGTGCCAGGCACTTGGCCACGTGTTTGAAGAAGTGTTTTGAGACGTCTCAAAACACTTCTTCAAACACGAGAATGAGAGTGAACCGGGCTACAGGTGCCAGGCACTTGGCCACGTGTTTGAAGAAGTGTTTTGAGACGTCTCAAAACACTTCTTCAAACACGAGAATGAGAGTGAACCGGGCTACAGGTGCCAGGCACTTGGCCACGTGTTTGAAGAAGTGTTTTGAGACGTCTCAAAACACTTCTTCAAACACGAGAATGAGAGTGAACCGGGCTACAGGTGCCAGGCACTTGGCCACGTGTTTGAAGAAGTGTTTTGAGACGTCTCAAAACACTTCTTCAAACACGAGAATGAGAGTGAACCGGGCTACAGGTGCCAGGCACTTGGCCACGTGTTTGAAGAAGTGTTTTGAGACGTCTCAAAACACTTCTTCAAACACGAGAATGAGAGTGAACCGGGCTACAGGTGCCAGGCACTTGGCCACGTGTTTGAAGAAGTGTTTTGAGACGTCTCAAAACACTTCTTCAAACACGAGAATGAGAGTGAACCGGGCTACAGGTGCCAGGCACTTGGCCACGTGTTTGAAGAAGTGTTTTGAGACGTCTCAAAACACTTCTTCAAACACGAGAATGAGAGTGAACCGGGCTACAGGTGCCAGGCACTTGGCCACGTGTTTGAAGAAGTGTTTTGAGACGTCTCAAAACACTTCTTCAAACACGAGAATGAGAGTGAACCGGGCTACAGGTGCCAGGCACTTGGCCACGTGTTTGAAGAAGTGTTTTGAGACGTCTCAAAACACTTCTTCAAACACGAGAATGAGAGTGAACCGGGCTACAGGTGCCAGGCACTTGGCCACGTGTTTGAAGAAGTGTTTTGAGACGTCTCAAAACACTTCTTCAAACACGAGAATGAGAGTGAACCGGGCTACAGGTGCCAGGCACTTGGCCACTTGTTTGAAGAAGTGTTTTGAGACGTCTCAAAACACTTCTTCAAACACGAGAATGAGAGTGAACCGGGCTACAGGTGCCAGGCACTTGGCCACGTGTTTGAAGAAGTGTTTTGAGACGTCTCAAAACACTTCTTCAAACACGAGAATGAGAGTGAACCGGGCTACAGGTGCCAGGCACTTGGCCACGTGTTTGAAGAAGTGTTTTGAGACGTCTCAAAACACTTCTTCAAACACGAGAATGAGAGTGAACCGGGCTACAGGTGCCAGGCACTTGGCCACGTGTTTGAAGAAGTGTTTTGAGACGTCTCAAAACACTTCTTCAAACACGAGAATGAGAGTGAACCGGGCTACAGGTGCCAGGCACTTGGCCACGTGTTTGAAGAAGTGTTTTGAGACGTCTCAAAACACTTCTTCAAACACGAGAATGAGAGTGAACCGGGCTACAGGTGCCAGGCACTTGGCCACGTGTTTGAAGAAGTGTTTTGAGACGTCTCAAAACACTTCTTCAAACACGAGAATGAGAGTGAACCGGGCTACAGGTGCCAGGCACTTGGCCACGTGTTTGAAGAAGTGTTTTGAGACGTCTCAAAACACTTCTTCAAACACGAGAATGAGAGTGAACCGGGCTACAGGTGCCAGGCACTTGGCCACGTGTTTGAAGAAGTGTTTTGAGACGTCTCAAAACACTTCTTCAAACACGAGAATGAGAGTGAACCGGGCTACAGGTGCCAGGCACTTGGCCACGTGTTTGAAGAAGTGTTTTGAGACGTCTCAAAACACTTCTTCAAACACGAGAATGAGAGTGAACCGGGCTACAGGTGCCAGGCACTTGGCCACGTGTTTGAAGAAGTGTTTTGAGACGTCTCAAAACACTTCTTCAAACACGAGAATGAGAGTGAACCGGGCTACAGGTGCCAGGCACTTGGCCACGTGTTTGAAGAAGTGTTTTGAGACGTCTCAAAACACTTCTTCAAACACGAGAATGAGAGTGAACCGGGCTACAGGTGCCAGGCACTTGGCCACGTGTTTGAAGAAGTGTTTTGAGACGTCTCAAAACACTTCTTCAAACACGAGAATGAGAGTGAACCGGGCTACAGGTGCCAGGCACTTGGCCACGTGTTTGAAGAAGTGTTTTGAGACGTCTCAAAACACTTCTTCAAACACGAGAATGAGAGTGAACCGGGCTACAGGTGCCAGGCACTTGGCCACGTGTTTGAAGAAGTGTTTTGAGACGTCTCAAAACACTTCTTCAAACACGAGAATGAGAGTGAACCGGGCTACAGGTGCCAGGCACTTGGCCACGTGTTTGAAGAAGTGTTTTGAGACGTCTCAAAACACTTCTTCAAACACGAGAATGAGAGTGAACCGGGCTACAGGTGCCAGGCACTTGGCCACGTGTTTGAAGAAGTGTTTTGAGACGTCTCAAAACACTTCTTCAAACACGAGAATGAGAGTGAACCGGGCTACAGGTGCCAGGCACTTGGCCACGTGTTTGAAGAAGTGTTTTGAGACGTCTCAAAACACTTCTTCAAACACGAGAATGAGAGTGAACCGGGCTACAGGTGCCAGGCACTTGGCCACGTGTTTGAAGAAGTGTTTTGAGACGTCTCAAAACACTTCTTCAAACACGAGAATGAGAGTGAACCGGGCTACAGGTGCCAGGCACTTGGCCACGTGTTTGAAGAAGTGTTTTGAGACGTCTCAAAACACTTCTTCAAACACGAGAATGAGAGTGAACCGGGCTACAGGTGCCAGGCACTTGGCCACGTGTTTGAAGAAGTGTTTTGAGACGTCTCAAAACACTTC